ACTTGATTATCACCTTTCACCATCTGTAGATTTGTAATACCCAAAGGTCATGTTAGGGGAAACCATTTAAAAAAAAATTCTAGGTATAAATTCACTTTTAATACACTGAATGAAGTTATTTAATCATCTCTCTGAAATTTACAATTTCATCTTGTGGTACAATTATTTTCGTGATGTTCATCATCTAGTCTTTTGGATGGAACTGAACCTGCTGGGTTTTTTTAAGTTCCAGAGTACTGGTTACTTTCTTCACAGATCAGGATTATAAATATTTCTACATAGAGTCTCAGTAATAGTAAGCTTATTATGAGCCCAATGTTACATTTTACCTGTGCTCATACATAGCTAAAAACGTTATGTTTATGTAGGACTAAGCCTTTTATCAGTGCTTTCTGAAAATCCAGGCTAGAACAGTCCCTGTGCCACTCATTTGCCAGCAATGAAATGTAAATCAAGTTAGAGGCAGTCTTCCCCTGCCTCCAGCATGGCAGTACTTCATATGCAATTAGTTTCCATACACAATAATTTTTTAGAGATAGCTGGATCAATGAAGCATTTTAGCTGGCAAAGGAAGTTCAAACTATGTGCATCTATTAATATACCAGGATTTGCTGTATTTCATAACATTAAAACAAGCTATGTGTTTCCATTTGTTGCTCTTTTCATCTAGCATTACTGACTTTTGCTATCAAAGAGAAAGTAAACATCCCATCTCACCCTTTTTTATCCCATTCTGATACTAAAGTGTTTTTGATGTGTGTTTAGCTTCCTAGCAAATGCTAAGGGGGGTGACTTGTGTATGACTTTCCTCAATTCAATAGATGCTCTCATATGGAAAATCCACCATAAGTAACTTTAATAAACAGAAATCCAGCACAGATTTTTTTCTAAAGAATAGCCATTAACTACATGTGAACTAGGATGCTAACATCAAACCCAAGACACAACAGAAAATTGAGATCCCATGCTTGAGGCAGCCAGTAATATAAAGTAATATGGGAATCTGGGGCTGTTTTTCAATGCCACTCCCATGGATTAATTGCTCACAACCACATCTTGATTCAAAATGCTGTAACTGAATTTTAATATTTCAAATAGACATATTTATGCTGAAGCTTTAATTCTAATAAAATTGACAGTGATATAACACAGATGGGAAAAATATTACAGTATTAGTAACATATAATTGCAGCTGTAAATGAAAAAAAGTATGATAAATAGGTGCAATATGTAGGCACAATTTCCAAGTTAAACGTGCTGCACATGAGGAACTCAAGAAACTTGTGTGCTGGCTGAGAGGCTACCATTTAGAAGCCATCCACAATAGTTATCAAATGAAACTGCTTAACAATCAGCCTGTATTTATGGAAGAATTACTATTTTAAAAAATTATTAAAGCATATGTTGTGGTCTAAGAATAGCATTCTCCAATTCATTCTCCAATGGTTATACTCCCGCAAAACTATGAGCCACCTCCCCTCCCTGCCAGCTGGAGGGACAAAAGGCAGAGATCACAAAAGGTGGAGATCAGAACAATTTACTGGAAACAGCAACGGGATAAGAAGGTAAAGAGTAACAGCAACAATATTAATAACAAAAGATATAAGAAAATAAATTATCCACAGAATACCAGACTGCTCTGTCTGCTGTGTTTTCCCCACTGTGAGGAATTCCTTATTCCCTGAAGAGAGTCCCTTCCCCCTGTGCCTGACAATGATGTGAGGTGGTGTAGAATAACATCCCTCCCAGCTACTGCAAAAATTAAACTTGTCCTGGATGGAACCAGGATGACATATATGACAGAAATGCCAAGGGAACAGGATCTTCACTGCTTCAGTTCTGAGAGAGACCAATGCAACTAATCTGTGATTTTTAGAATTCTGTATTCTAATTACCTACACTAGCACTCAAATTTGAAGTGCTCAAAACACCAGCATTCAGTACCTTTTGAGAAAAGACTTGAAGAATTTTCCCCCTTTTCACAGAATGGCTGAGCTTGGAAAAAATCTGAGGAGGTCATTTTGCCTAACATCCCTGCTCTAGAGGGCCATCTACAGCAGTTTGCTAGGATCACATCAAGACATCTTTCAAATATCCCCTGGGATAAGACTCTATATCCTCCACGGGAAGCTCATTCCACTGTCTGAGCATCCTCACAATGAACATATACATACACATGTATATATAAAAATGTGTCATGGCTCAGTGTCCCCACCAAGACTCTCCCAAACCAAACGCTGCTCACTTGCTCTACCCGCTTCCCCTTCTCCTTTCACTCTCTGGGAATGGAGTTAAGAACAAGAGGAGCAAAGTAAAAAATTACAAGACGAGATAACAATAATTTACTGGAAGCAGCAATGAGAGAAGAAAGGAAGCAACAACAACATTAATAACAGGTGAAACACAATGGAATAATTTACATAGAAAGTGCAACAATACCAGACTCTACCTGGCACAGTTTCTCTCCCCCCAGCCTGACCAGAAATGAGGGAGTGTCTTACTCCAGCCCCTGACAATTGATGAGATGGTATCAAATAGCACTAGGGCCTAGCCAGGCCCCTTTCTGGTAAAAAAATTAACCCTGTTTTGGCCAAACCTAGGCACCTTTCTATGTATATAATGGCATATTCAATTTCCTCTATAGTTTGTACTCTTTGCCTGTCAGCAGATACCACTGGAAAGAGCCTGGGTCTACCTTCTTTACAACCTCCCTTCCAGTATTTGTATACTTTGAGCCTTTTGAACCTCCTCTACTCCACACTAACAGTCCCTGCTCCCCCAGCATTACCTCCTATAAGAGGAACATCAGTCCCTTCAACATCTTGGGAGCTCCTCACTGGACTATCTCTGGTAGGTCCATGATACTCTTGTACTGAACAATAGAGTTCCCCAGGTGTGCAGGCCTTGCCAGTGCTGAGGAGAGGGGAAGGATCACATGTTGACTACTCAAGAACACCCCCTCTTCAAATAGCTGCAAATACTTTCCAGGATTAGTTGTTTGATCACCTTATCATGGATCACAGTGAGACTGAGCAGCCTTTAATTTCCTGGATTCTTCTCATTGTTCTTCCTGAAGACAAGCAGGACATCTGATTTCTTTTGAAAGCACCTGTTCCAATCACTATGATCTTTCAAAAATTATTAGGTGGCCTCACAGTGGGAGCTCAAAGTGACATCAGTGAGCTCCCTTAGTACTTGTGGGTGCATCTTATCAGGACCTCTGGACCTAGGTAAGATTAGCTTGCATAAGTATTCTCCAGCCTATTCCTCTCCCACTATGGGTAGGTTTTCCTTGCTCCAATCCTTCCCCAGTATCTGGGTCCTTAGCACACCAAGAACTGATTTTTCCAGTAAACACTAAGATGAAGAAGACAGTCAATACCTCAGCCTTTTACATGTCCTGTGTCACCAGAGCTCCTGTCCTATTCACCTGTGGGCCCGTATTTCCCCTAAAATTTCTTTTACTACTTATATACTTACAGAAGTTCTTTGGTTACCCAAACCCACTTTCTGACACTATCTTTTCCAGGAATCACTAACTCAGCTTTAATCAAGCAAGAAACTTGTTCTGACAGTAAAATTTTAGTCATTACAAACATCTGATGTTCAGCTAGTGAGCAAATGATACTGGGGAGATCCAACTATCACTGGAGCCAGCATATCACCACTACTCTTCATACACTTTTAACCACTTTCCTAAGACATCCTCCTATCGTTACTCCTATTGTTTTTATTACCTTTTAGCTTATGCTTTGCTTTTCATTATTATCTGTAAATGATAAGCATGAACAAGCTCCAGTTTCTCTTAATACTCGACACTCCAGGAACACGGATGGGCCTGAATGAGGGAAATAAACATTATTTCCCCTGTCATAGGGTCTCACAGATGCCCTCCCATAGCTCTGCTAGGTTTCCATGTTCTACAGAGAAATTGCTTATTAATCTTACATCCAGTGTAAGTCTTATTGTCAAGTACTTCCTTGTTTCAACTGTCCAAAAGCAGTAACAAATTTCATTTTTTCCCCAAATTTCCACTCCGTTGCCTTAGCAGGCAACATTAGTAGAAATATTATACCATGTAAATTTTACTTCTTTCCAATGATTTTTTTTCAAGTCTTGAATTCAGCTTTATTAGTCTGTCAACCACATTTTCAGAAAAATATGTTTGTACATTCAAAATTACTTATTTGCTGTCCATCCTTATTTACCATGTACATGTGGATACTTCAGTGATGAATTACATGAATGGAAAAATGCAACATATGCATACATTTGCAAACCTATCTACACCTTTAAGAACCAGCAACTTAGTAACCTGGCTACTGAGCATATAATTTTTTTTTGTGACCCAAACTATTTATATAATTTAAGTTCTTCAAGTCTTATTATATATCTCCACCACAGGAGAAATTTTTTTTGTGACCCAAACTATTTATATAATTTAAGTTCTTCAAGTCTTATATCTCCACCACAGGAGAAATAAGAAAAAGAAAGTTAGGAAGAAATACTAACAGTTCTTACTGCTTTATCTCACATACTTTAAGTCTGTTTAAACACATTTTTAATACCACAGCAAGTAAAAAAGAAAAAAACAAACAACATTTTAAAAGAGACAATTGAGACCTAAGATCTACTACTGAATTTTATGGCCTGTAATAACTCCCCAATGACATTAAAATGGCTAGTGTTTATTGAAACAGCAAATGTGACATATAGTCTAAGTCTGTCTGTATTGTTTTCTTTCGAACTTTGAAGCAACTGAATTAATACAACAGGTCTCCAACATATTCAGATTACTGTTACAGTAACACAACACATCAGCATTATTTTTGATGAGTGGAAGAACATTTTTTAAATCATCTTTACACCACTTACAGTAACACAACACATCAGCATTATTTTTGATGAGTGGAAGAACATTTTTAAAGAATCTTTACACCACGTGAGAAACTGCAATTTTTTTCCCAAAAGAAAAACTGAATATAATAGAAATGTATTACCTTGTCACTTTACAGCTTGATTCAATCAGCTCATTTTCAATATCCAACAGACTAGAAGGCAGGTTGTATTCCAAAGGTGAGGACATTCTTTTTAAACGCAGCAAGCCAACACAGAACTTTGCTCCCATCTCCTCCAGTTCTCTTGTACCTATTTGCAATCCCTAATTTGAAAATAAGATTTAAAAATACAAAATAGGTACAGGCAGATGGACCCACACATACTGCAGAATAGCTCTTTAGGTTAATATTTTCTTACTTTATTTAATACATTATCTTGCTTTTAAAGACAGAACAAATCAGATTTGTAGAATAAGCAGAGTATCAGAGAAGACTCTGGAATACCTACATGATTCCTTTAAGGCTGAACAGACATATTCATATTTTTTGGAGCTTCCTAGTCTACACTTCTAGCACCCCAAAATTAACAAATCTTTCCCCAGTGGTATTGGAAGAGATACAATGTCTAGGTTCATAAGTATAAATTATTTTAAAATAAGAATTTAAAATACAAGATTCCTCAATATAAATTCCATCAAACAGAATGAAAAAAAAAAAAAGAAGATAATTAATATCATAGTTGTGCTCAAATTCATTGCTATGTTTTAACACATAGGTAAGACTACCTAAGGCAGCAGTTACTCCATGAGACAGATGTCTCTTCCCTGCCTGTAAGTTAGGGAATACATGTGTTAATTCTGAAAGCATTTATTTACATATTTAGTAATTAAAACTAACAAGTAAATTCTCAAAAGCTATAGCTCTTTTCTAACTTGAATTACATAGCCAGGCATTTTCCTCTGTAAAGACCATTTAGAAGGTAGAACTTATGTAATGCTCTCCAAGTTTACATATCTAATAAATCCTCCCATCAGGTAATTACACATTTGTAATTTAGCCAGAAATGCAGTATACAGGGACATAACCTCTGACCTCAACTACTTTATAAGAAGAGTGTAATCTATACTGAGCCTCAACAGTTAGGTAATTGGCTAGTACTAACGGTATATACACTAGCAAATTCAGTGGCACAACTCCACTCCACTTCCCCCTTTGCAACTTCTGTATCTCTGGAGAATCTAAAAGGACTTTAGCTTGGATCTTCTCAATCCCTTAACATACAGATTAGTTAAAAAGAAGCTTTGACAAAACAGGGAAACAGAAGAGCCAGGAATCGGTGGTAAGCTAAGCCATCAAGTACAAAAGAAGCAAAAAAGACTGAAGCAGGAATTATTTTTTACCAAAAGCTAGGTAAAAAACACACAAGCTTTGTATGTGTTGCCACAGTGACGCTGCATTTTAAAATGCAAGGTTTAAAAGAAAGTATGTTGCTGCAGAAATGGTACAGCCCACATATTCTCCATGTGCTGTTTTGAACATACTTAATAGAAGAAAAGTTTGACTTTCTTCAGAGTTCTTTTTTTGCCTTGGTAGTACTCATAAGCAAGGTGCTTTTTAGTAACAAGAAAGATAAATCTATATCCATGATTCTGAACAGTGCCATCCTCTGGCCAAATGGTACTGAAACCTGTTAGCAGTGAACAAGAGTTGAATAGTTGAGTATTATTCTTAATAGAATACTACTTACCTCTTTTATAATGCTTTTGTGCTGTAGATTTCAAAGCACTTATTAATAAAGGAAGAATTATCCTCACTGTACTGATGGAGAAATGGAGGCAGAGAGGGTTGAAGCGATTTGCACAGTGTCTCACAGCATGTCACTGACCCCGCTGGGAACAGAAATCAGTTCTCCTCACTCAGTGCAGTACCTTATCCATAGAGACCAATTTTTTGGCTTTGTTTTGTATTTGTTTGCACATCATTAACTTTCGAAGACCCCAATCATAGCTGGGGCTCCACTACGCTAATCACAGGAAGACACAGTCCCTGCCCCAAAGAGATTAAAATAACATTAAGGTCAAGAGGCAACAAAGTATGTAGAAGAGGAAGGAGAAAGGTAACAGCAATCTCACTGTTACACAGGTTACTAATGTGCACAACTTGATGGTTCAGAAACTTTTCCAGTTATCGTCTGCATTTGTTGCTGAAGAATTTATCGTTAGTTGGCAGGTTCCTTATAGACAAGATTTGTCTAACAGAGTGTCTCTAAGTTGAAAAAGGACAAGAGTACAGCATGAAGGAAAATGCAAAGACAATTGTTATAAAGATGTATAGCGTGCGCATGTTCTGTGGCTGCTATTTTTAGCACAGCAGAAAGAGGATGTAACTAAAGAGAAACCTAAATGGAGCAGATTGGAGGTGGATAACTGGGAAACACCTGAAGGATAAATTTTGAATTTACTACACTGAAGGGTCTACACAATTGTGGTAAAAGCCTCATGCCAAATCTTGACTTGCTTTTTAATTTCTTTTCATCATAAGGGAGAATGTAATACACAAATGCCAAATACCAAATTTCTTAATTGATTCTTCCATCAGCCAAACTTCTTCATTTCCATGAAACAAGATCCAAAGTCTGGTTCAAGAAGTCATCATCACCATCATCCGTTGCCCTTTCTAAGGGACATGATCTCAAGTTCATTTTCACTGAAGCTTCATTACATTTCTTTCCATTATCTTCTACTGATCTTCAACAGTTACTAATCAACAGATCTAGTACCTTTAACTGAGGCTAAGTTATTTACATGCTACAAGCATTGCTTTTAAGCTCAAGCCATCTCAATGGTACGTCTTTTTTTTAAACTAAATTTCAATTTCTTTTTTCTCTACATCATATATAGCTATCTTTCTTCTAGAAGTAGAATTTTAGATGGAGGGTGGAAGTCTTCTTTACTAAGCATGTCATGAAGGTAGCTTCATATCAATACAGTACCTCAGTGATTAAATTTGCCACTTGAAAGCAAAGATACAAAACAAAGGCACTGCAGGCTGACCTCAAGTGGAGAAGAATATTCCTATAATACATAATTAATAAAAGGAAAACAGCTATATAAAGAGTCATAGAAGTCAATTGGTAAAAAAAGTCGTAAAATATATGTAGATCTGCTTTCTTATGCAGCAGAGGTTACAAGGACATAATCATTTCTGAGAACTTGAATTCTAAAGACTGAAAAATCAGTTACTGAGAAATTTGTTAACAAAATTTTTATTTCCTGAAGTCTTCTCTTTATGTGAGTTGTAAGATTGCCAGATAACAAAATCTTTTCAATTAACTTAAAAGTCAAGCAATACTTCCAAATGTATTAATCTTCAATCAGCAAAGACATTGATTTCTATTTTCAGGTGGTATGAATAATTGAAGACATTGCTCTTTTGTCTGGCATCTTAATTATGCTCCATAGTAGATCCTGGAGAATCCTTTCACCTGAAAGTTTGTTTTTCCATATCCTGAATCACAGATGTCCTGTCAATAGACTACAAAGATTCCATATGATCAGCTCAAAAAAATTTGCTTCCAGAGACAACTTTGTCACCAGAGATCCCAAACAGAGGTAAGACTAGCTACCTTCAGCTCAACAGCTTCCTGGCTGGATTCATCATTGTCCAAATAAAATAAATTAGAATAAAGATTATGTTCAGTTTGGCAAGTACGCAGTCTTTCTTCCACAAAGAACCAAATTGTTAAGTAATCCTCTTCATGCTTTGAACAAAATTGAGCAAGGATGCTAAACCAGAGTAAGACTAGCAAAGTGTTTCCATCCCTCAGATCTGAACTCTTATGTCCTTTAAGACGGGAAGTAGGAGGGAAAGGAATTTCTACAGTTCAACTTCTCTCTCTTTTGAAATAACATATTATGACATATGTAATCTAATTTATACCATAAGTTTATTGACAGACTTACTGGCCCTACTCCTTCCACAAAGTATATCTCAAAAATAAAGCAAACAACACAACAAAAGCCCCCACAAAAACCCTGGGATTAAGGCCTTTTGTCTTTTTCTTCTTCTCACTGGAGAAATACAGCTCTTTGATAAGTCTAGTCACCTTGACTTTTTAGATATATTTTCTTAATAAGTTTGAGCATTATCATAATGAAGAAAAAAATTAAGAATCTTCCAGTATCTTCAGAGGATGACTAAGAGCTCACAAATTGCTTTAATCCATAAAATGAATGGCAGAACAGTAATTCAGTCTCATCAGTTAGTTTATATGACATAAAAGAATGCTCTTCCCTTGAGTAAATGATTCTTCCACAAAATTCAGCCATTTGTTTCTTTCCTTACTGAAAAATAGCTTTGGAGGTTTAAGAATCTTGAAAGTTTGTCCACAAAGCATCTTCAATTCACTTTTCTTAAGTACTTCCTGTAGCAACACTGCTAAAGCCATGAGGGTCCATGTCTAAGAATATTTTCAACATTTCAAAATAAGCAAATTGGATGAGTTATCTTTTTTTAGAGCTCTATAATGAGCTTTATTATCTGAGGAATATTCTGACAACAGCAGGAATGCATCTGTTGTTAATTGACAAAATGTAGCACTTACAGGCCTACTGAAATTCTCAACGAAATTATCTGTCTTCCTACTCTATAGGGATATAAGCACAGATGTTGGCGCATACATTAATATAATAAATATATCTTGTTCAACTCTCTTTTTCGTTTCTGTCTCACCCAGCCTTCTGATCCTCTTTCTGTCAAGCACCTTATTTGAGGCTTGTGATCGTTTTCTCGATTAGCACACCTAAACTCAGCTTTCAAGCAGAGGAAATCCACTCCTTCCATGCATGCTGTCTACTAGTGAGACACTACCAACAGAGTCACTTTTTGTTTTCAGATACGCAGCCCTGTTAACAGTTTTCAAGGAGAGGAAATGAAAACAAGTTTTAAGTCAAGAAGCCACACAACTATGTGAGTTCAGAGATCATCTGTAATTTGTAGAGCTGGTAAGCCGGTGTGAAAGTGTTTTGGTTTGTAAGCCTATTTCCCCAGCTATATGGGAAATTTCTGTAAGAGACACTGCTAAATATCTATTGAGAAGAGCCATGATCTGCCATGGTGAAGCCTGCAACTGCCATATGTAAAGGAAATTTTTATTATAGTATTGACATATACTACTACCAAATCCTAATAATCTGTTGGGCAGAACAGTCCTGGGTTTTTTTAACTGCATGCATACCCATGTGTAAAAAGCAATGATTAATATTAATCTTGTTAAAACAGCCCATAAGCATAACTGCTATGCAGCCTACAAAGTTGAAAATCTTATAATTTCATCCTAACATCAGCCTACCCAGACCTTAAAAGCTTTCAAAAGCTTAAAGCAAGCAAGAATTGAGCAAGCAGGGTTACAGAAGATAACAATGCGAAGGGAAGAAATTAAAAAGAAATTATTAAGAAATATTAACTGATGTATTCTCTTACTTTATACTTGCCCTGGTCACATCCACATAATGTGCTTTCCATTGTGTAGCTCCTTTGTACTCCTATCTCTCTCCAGACAACAACTCGGGCTGTAGATTCCTTGGACTTTTCCACCACAAAGCTGCAGCTGCCCATGCAGAATGCGGGGGCAGTCTGACTCAGGATCTTGGGGAGTGCCTGCAGGACAGCGATTTGAAAAAAAAAACAGTGATTCCTTTATTTCCCATATGGATGGAGGTGAAAAGGGACCATGTAATCATAAACTACTACCAGAAACTTTGATGAGGTTTGCATTAAAAATGAAAGAAAGAAGCAATTCTCCATCTTAAGTTTTCAAACATCAGTGTGTTCAAGTAACAAAGTCTTCAGGCCTTTTCCTAGATTTAAAATCCCTTTTTTCAGATTCAGTCACTAAAACTGTTAGTCATGAGAATAAGGATCAGGATACAGGAGAATTCTTCAGCTTATCACCATCCCTCCTAACTCACCAAGTTAAGTTTGCTCAAATTAAGTGTACTACATACTCCACATAAGTATTTAATTCAAATGCAGACTGTTTCAGAAGTCCCATTTACAGACCTAACAAAAGTAGTATTTTATTAACACATAAAATTCATTTGTATTCAGCAAAGCACTAGTTGCATATTTCCCTTCAAGCATGTGAATCAAAGTTCAGTTCTGTTTACTTGACAGTTTCAGTGAAAAGGTTATGCAAATATACATATTTTACTATTGCTAAATGACTGTTCTTTCTAGTTTTTGTTTGTGTCAGTTAAGAAAAAACACATAACTGCTTCAAATTTATTATTTCAGTAGTAATGCATAACCCATTAGTGCAAGCTTGCCCAAACATTTCAGTTTGCCTTTTTGAAAATGAAAGGCTTTTTCCAACAGCCCTTATTGACTACTGTCATTTGTGTACTACATTGACTACAGTAGTGAATGCTGAAGTGACAAAAACCCACATAAATGTGTTAGAGTGTTAGAGCAGCAGACATGATTGGCATCTGGCTCTACATCCAGGAAATCACACAAGAAGTCTGTCTGTATTGAGACAGCATTCAGCCCTTTCATTGTTTTTGTTTGTTTGTTTTTTTGTTTGGTTTTTTTTTTTTTTTTTTTTTTTTTTTTTGTTTTTTTTTTGTTTTTTTGGGGTTTTTTTGTGAGGGAGATTTAAAGGAAAAAAAAACCAGAAAGCATCTGTACTCAAGGATGCATAATAAGTGTTTTAACATGCATTCACATGCTTTTGAAGTTTAAGTCTGAATCTTTTCACAAAAACAGAGCCTGCACACCTATATGTCACACAGGTTTGCAGTTCCCATGAGGCAGCAATGGAGAGAGACACAGAAGAAATAGGTAACTCTCCAAGAAACACATAGTTCTCTACATTTTTTGCATGTTTGAAAGCTTATACAATGCAGAGGATGTGTTTGTGCAAGTTTATTATATATACCTAATTAGGGGCACATGTCTGAACTACACATCTTTATATAAAGGAATAAATAAAAAGGAATCTTGCATATTTCCATATACAAAAACAAGTATTTCTCAGAAAAATTCAGTTTCTTTTTGCCTTGTTGCTAGAATATTGTTTGCCATACCTCAATCACTTGTTTTTTAATCTGGTAATTATAAATGCAGAGAAGCATATTTTCCATCTATTTTCTATAAAAGTAATATTAAACACAAAACAAATTGGTGTAAAGAAACAAACAAAAAAAAGCACTCTATGTATAGTGTTTAAAGCTTCATGAAGTGTACTTTGAAATACACTCACAAACTAAAAAGAGGTGATTTTAAATAAGTCTGTTTATGCTATAGAATCATAATTTGCATAGGATAGGACCAGGATACTACTTGAAAAGGAAGTTCCAAACCCATGCCAAATAAAAGGTACAAATGTCAAACTCACCCTGTAAGCAGGGTCTTCCATCAGGTCACAAGAGGCAGCATTAACACTTGTATGCCACATTGTCTCTTTGATGCTGCAGCCATACATAAATACATTCTTTTTACGAGAATGACCATGATAATCACAGTAGACCTATAATAAATCATTTGGCAAAATAAACTCAAGGCATATGGAATAAAAATTTTAAGAAAGTAATAGAAAGACAATTTTTTTTATTTATACTCTTGAACGTTCAAAAGAATTAAGCAACAATCCTTTATATGATTAACTCTCATTAAGACAAAAAGTGTGTGATTCATCTAAGGAAGGTTTAACCTTCTAGCCTAGCCAAGTAACACATGTACATCTACAGGTTTGCAGAAGACCAGTTCTCCAAGTCAAATTTAAGTGTGACATGGTTTACAAGACCATGTCAAAATGTTTAATTTATAGACTAGCTACATAGATAAAGTTAAAAAGATTCAGAATTGCTTACACACACATACTTACCAAAGGCAAACGTTTTATAGCAGCCAGATATTGCAGTAACCCTTTAGCATGGTAAATAGTGGGATGCAGATCTGGATTTGGATTTTGCCACTGTCTGTTTAAATCTTCTCCACTTAAAGAGCAACGGTGGCTATTGTGGGGGGGGTGGAAAAACGCATGATGTAGTCTGTATTATCATACTTTTAAATAAGCCTCCCCCCACCTCAAGTTTTCCTCATCAACACTGCTTCTTTGGAAGAAGTCTGGCAAGAAACAAACTTCAACTTTCTAACATGCCAAATAATAGAAATGTTTGGGGTGTTTTAAGCTATGTTACAGAAAATCTAAAAATAAATTAGAAGTAGACTCTTAGGTGAAGCCAACTGTAATATTACTTATTTGCTGTTGAAACTGAAGGCTTGCAATTCCATCCAAATTCTAGTTCAAAATCAGTAATTTAATACATATGGTATCTTTACAATTTGGGTGTCTTCTGTAATTTAGAGACTGAAGTCAGCTAGAAATCTAATACTTGAAATGTGAAGTTGTCAGGAGACAAGGAGCTGTGTGAAAAACAAGGACCAAAAAACCTAAAACAACCCAGGAAACAAAAAGATCATCTCTGTATTCAGTCAGCTATCAGCAAGAACTTTTAAACTTTCAGGATTTCATGATCATGCAGTCATCTTCACTATATTTGCCTTTAGACAGTGTCTGCTGGGACAGCCTTCTAAATTGTCCCTTTATCGTGAATTATTTAATCACATGTATTCTAGTATACACATTCTTTTACCGATATAAAGACAAAGTTCTACTGAAATCTATAGTTTTATTATTTTGTTCACAAAACCTTTTAAAATAGTACCTATAGTAGATTAATAAAAACTGTAGCTTTATCATAGCAAAATTTCCATTTCATATGAACTCCCTACAACCAAGTAAATGTAGACTGCTCAATGTTTACTCATAGTAGTTCCAAAAAGTTCTGACATATCCCTTAAATTTATCAAGAAAAGTGTAGCAATTGAAATAATTACTATTATAACTTCAATCAAACCAGGATACTCTATTACCCTTTCTCTTGCACACCTATTAATTTCCCAGCTTTTAAAAAATTATGTAAAAGGCTTTCTCAAATATAAGGCACTTTCTTTTTTCATGTAGACCATGAACTTGTTTAGTTTTTTCTAAATGCAGGAGGGGTCTCGTATAACACTCTTACACAAATCCAAGACAGAGAGACAATTAAAATTTCATGTCAAATCACAGAGGAATGATTATCATCCATGCACAACTGGAAATATTTTTGTAAAACTGCAATTGTGAAGGAATGTAACTGCCTTTTAAGAAGCCAAAAATCCTAGCAATATTGCCAGTGTCTGTTGCTTTTTTATCATGTTACATATTGCATTTGCACCTTTGCAGGATTAGTTTAGATTATTTATTTTTAAATATTGATGCAAAGAATTAGAGTACAGGTTAAACTTTTGTGATTAAATATATGCTTACTTTCCATTGATGACACCATCTGGATTGAGCATGGGAATAATTTTGAAAATATAAGATTCCCGTAAAGACTGCGCATTTGGACTATTGCTCATAAGGTATTCCAGTGTTCCCTTCATAACCCAGCTTGCATTAGTCTCTCCAGGATGCACACGGGCAGACAGGAATATATAAGGACGATTCCCTAAAAGAGATATCCACAGAAATTGCAAAATATTATTTAAGCTGAGTGAACAGTTTGTTGATTGGAAAAAGAGCCAATAGCCCACTGCATTTATAACAATGCAAAAAACATTTGTAAATTGAGTATTAATGAGTATGGGTATTATTGATAGAGATTGCCACAACATTTTTGAAAGGACTGCTAATTACAAAACTATCACAATGGAACTTTAAATTTGATCAGACAATTATACAACTAATTTGAACTGGAAGTTATGATTCAACTTTCATTACTTTCTTCCCAATAGCAAAGAAAAATACTGAGGTGGACAAACAAACCAGGAAATGGCAAAAGCGCACTTCAAATCACAGTAGCTAGATGTTAGCTTTATGAAAGATTTTTTTTTACAAGATAATAACCTCAGCATTTTAAGAAAAAAGTTACTTGTCCAGTATTCTTTTCCAAGAAGTGCTGTTTGCAAAATGTAATGTACAAACCTAGCAGCAAAAATTTAAAATGCATTAATATATATTCTTGCATTTAAAGATATTTATATCTTTGTTTCACTACCACAAATAAGTATTATTAAATACAAAACCATTCCTGAATACTGATGCCTCTCAGTTTCACGAAATTCATTAACCTTATTTTACACTGCTATTTTTACACTGCATAGTGGTTAAGACTAAATTTTTTCTACAAATACCTGGTTTTACATTATTTTCAGCTGATGAGAAAGAAGAGTAATACTTACTGAACTGACAGATATGTTCATAGTAATTGGACTCTGGCATGGCTGTAATAGTGACTAATGGACAGCTGTTGCCAGCCAGGGTCTCACAGAGAACGTCATGCCGAAAATATATCTGTTGAGGGTTGTGCATAGATTCCAGCTTCCTAAGATGCATCTTCATACCAAAAATAATGAAAAAATACTTCAAATTCTTTGCAGTCACATATGACAGCATATTTCAGAGGTACTATTTAAACAGATCTTTCTTTTAGATGTTCTAAAAAATGTTTAAGTTTCCAGGATAATTTTGACCATGAAATATAGATTTCTACATCTCTGACTGATTGAGTACTTCTCTTTACATAGTTTGCTTTTACAACTGCTTTGAGAAAGACAAAGGAAAAGAGGGTAAATTATTGTACACAGATGGTACTATACGGATATATGGAAGGTAAGAACCTCTGCTTCATTAAGGTTATCTGATCAGGGACCTTTTTGCTGCAAGGAGAGGTAATAAGTGAAGGAAGAATCAATACATGTGAACAGAGAGCCGAGATGTAATGGAAACCATAGCAAAGACCAAAGTCAGCAGTCTCTCTTTGAACAAGGCATTAAGAACCTACAGACAAGGACCTGGAGAAAGTCACCTGATAAACAAGTGGAATGGGATAATTTGGCACATTCAAGACGGGGGTGTGGTACCATACAAAACTCAAGCACCTGATTCCTACAGTATGCTTTTAGCCATCTCTGCAGCCTTACTCTCTACTCTGTGCATCCAAGTGCTGTGTGGACTGGTGCAACTAAAAGGACAGGTAAAAGTCAATTTTTAGGTCAACAGCTGGAATGCATAAGGATCTCAGCATCAGTAGTTGGAGAAGCCAACCTCCTGGGAGCATCCCTGTGGGTACCACAGGCTATGTGTCCCAGGTCCCAGCTACTGTTGGAATCAAAGCAGACTCCAGCAGCTGGAGCTGTAAGCACTCCTCACTCAGTGGTGTCAGCAAAGAAGCAAGGGAATGTCTCACTGCCAGTGACTACAGCGAGTAAAGGTGTATCCAACCACTGAGGCAAGGACAGGGTGTCCATCAAAACACATCTGTGGGACAATAAAGGTTGAGTTTCTTAGTGACAACACCTGAAGCAGGAACATGTGTTACAAGACCATGTGCCTGGTAACAGCTGCTAGGGATGGGGTGTCAAGCATATGCATCTTCCCTGCAGCTGATGTGTGTGAGGGCACACGTGAAACTTGCTAGTAAACTTCAAGGTAAACTACCCAGATAGTATGGGCCCCAGGTCAAGGGAGGGGTACCTAGCAGGCAAACAGTCCATGCCAGCATCTGGACAGAGCCACAAGTGCAGAGTGCCTCTGAGATGAGTGTGAAAGTGCAGTTGCTAGTGAGCACCAGGCTGGATGAGACTGCAAACTGGAGGCCTGCAAAGCAGGCAAGAGAGACCTCGGATTGAGGCAGAGCTATGGCACAGATGGGCCATGCCAGTGTTCCTCAAACATGCTTCCGATTCTAGAAAGTAGGCCAGCTTGTACTTTTGCTAGTGAACAGCAATCCACACCAGCTGCAGAGGAGGATGGGGTGTCTGTCCCTGTTATACAAGTCACAGTAGTGTTACACAGGGATCTGCCTTGTCTGTGCCAGTCTGTGTAGCCAGCCCTGCCCAGCAGGAGTGGGCATGCACAAGTATGTGTGCAAAACTGTCTTTCCATGGGATACATACTCAGACTTGCTAGTGAATATATAAGCAAACAGGAAAGCAGAAGCTATGTCCATCAGCCTGGGACAGAGACAGGCACCTTGGCTGGCCTCCAGCAGCTGGCCAGGAGGAACCTCCAGGACCAGAAGATGCTGGAAGAAACAGTTCCTTATAACAGCTCTTAACAGGTACTTCTTTCAAAAGCCAGCATTTTAGTGAAAAGCCGCATTTAAAGCTGCTATACACTGCCCACTGAATCCTCTGCTTTGCTTTTATTGCTGTGACAGAGGCAAACAACAGACATTCTAGCCAAATGAATTTAGCTTAATATTAAAAGCCTAAGAAGACTTCTTTAGACAATTCATAAATCTAAAAAGATCTATAATTATCCTAGTTACAGCAGTTTTAATTACCAAAAAGTATATGCAGAACAGGATACAAGTCATTTAAGTCAAACACAAAAACACTCCATCAAATTAGCACAGCTTCCAGTCAATTATTACAGAATCAAAGAATGCATAAGGTTGAAAGTGATAAGAGTGGGCCATCCAGTCCAACGTCCCTGTTTCAAGCAGGGCCATCTTATAGCACATTGCACAGCATTGGGTCCAGACAATGCTTGAACTCCCCAGGGATCGAGATTCCCCAAACTCTCCTTGCAATCTGTTCCAGGGCTCGGTCACCTGCACAGTGAAGAAGTTCCCTCCCATGTTCAGGTGGAACTTCCTGTGCATCAGTTTGTGCCAGCTCCCTCTGGTCCCAGTTCTTAGCACCACCAAGAAAAGCCTAGCTCCATCCTCTCAATATCCCTCCCTTCAGATACTTCCAGACATTGATGAGGTCCCTTCTCAGTCATCTCTGCTCAAAGTCTTTCCTCATAAGAGAGATGCTGCAGTCACATAATCATCTTTGTCATACCCAGGAAACCCACTAAGCCTGTAAGCATCAATTTTATTTTTCCTGGGACTGTTCATTAGGACAACCTATACATTTGGTCAATCTAAATATTAATATTATGAACATTCTCCCTTGAAAGGAGCATTTTGGACTTCATAAAAAGAAACAAAATTAATTCAGTCACGAATGCAATAGATTATACTAATATTATAAATATTCATTTAGGTAACAGATACAGCTTCTCACAGCTTCTCACCTTTAAAGTTGAGTACGTATATGGATAATGGTATGCAAAGTAGCACACATCATCTTTGTGTTGGAAAGTCACTGTGAATGTAATTGTGTAATAGGATTTTCCTTTCTGGCCCCCAGCAGCAATTGAACTTCTTGAAAAGTGATTCCTAAATCAAAAAATTAAGGTAATACACACATTAAACTTTTTCATACTATTGGTTATTTCTGAACACACATTCTAAGAGTCAGAAGCATTTTTAGTAACTGTATTTCTCTTTATGTATATACAGGTTAAATACAGGTTCCCACCAGCTTTAAAGATACTTTATTATAACAGCGATATGCACATTCATTTACATTAAGGTGATAAAAGGTGAGCAAACAAAAACAAGCAACAAAATAAAACAAACAAGAACCAGAAAAAGTAAACAAAGGGCTACAAACCAAGAAGGATTACATATCGATATGCTGCACCATCTGATCCTGTGTTTTAGAACTCCTCTGTCATAATAATCCCACCACAGATTACAGAGGGCTCATCACAAGGACCATGAGACCAGTATTACTGGAAGTTACTAATAGGATTTCAAGTAAGTATGCATATATATGTTCCCTTAAAAGATTCCCAGAACCAGTGCCCAATTTCTAATAAAAGTATAAAATATTAACAGCTTAAATATTAGTAGCGTGCTTACAAAATGAGACCTTGTATATTTCTATCACATTACTCTCTGCACTGACTCAGAAAAAAATCCCTTTTCACAACGGAATAACATAGAACTATCAAATGCATAAAAAATAACTTCTGCTCAAAAACTGTACCTTATGTTAATCTTCAGTGTAAGATTTGTTGTATGTTTGCTTTGTGTATGTACTCACTTGTAGTAACAAATGTCTGTCCCAACACGAGTCCAACACGGCCGAGACCGTAGTGCTTCCTGAACAGAATACATGAGGGGCTGCATACCTGAAAGAAGAAATGCATCTCACTTTAATGCTTACCATTAAACAGAAACATATTAGCAGTAATGGACCACATCAACACTTACACACCAGTATACAAATTACCTCTACTTATTCACTCACTATCAGAGTGCATTTTCATGAATGTCTGGGTATTGTACCGTGTGCTTTTTAAACCAGATGACAAAAGATTGCTGATTTTCAGAAAATAACAGCTAAAGAAAAGAGTAAGATTTATGGAAGACCAAAATGGAATGTTTAAATGAAAGCTGAGGTTTGCATGAATGGTAGACTACAAGCAGTGTACAGTTCCACTCCATCCACCTCACACTATGAAAAGCCTTCACACAGTACACAAAAAATTGATACTATCATCCATTCATGTAAATAACTGAAAAATAACAGATGTTACAGGACAATTTTTTAACAAGTAACTCTTTAAAGTCTATTTTTGGATAGCATACTTACATTGAATACTTCATATGAAGTTAGAGGACAAAAAAAATACATACTAATTGAGTATAATTTATTTATTAGATTATTAGCCAATCACACTGACTGATTCAATCAATGTGTTAAAAAAATCAAAAGAAATTACTAAGTATGCACAACATACAAGAAATCTAAACTGACTGATGAAGATCAGTAAGTAACTTAAAAGCATCTTATTACTGGTCAAACTACCTGGTATTCTGTGACTTTACAGTGTGGATGAAAGCGTATGACAAAGGAGACTACAACATTACTCAGTAACAAAAGTTTGAGGCTCAAGGTGGGAGGAGGGATTTCTTCCTTCTTAAAGGAGAAATTTCAGAATATATATCAAGAAAAAACCAAAAACAGTTTTAAGCTGAGTGACATACACGCTATATACATGCTCCCAGACACGAGGAAGAAAGGTATTTTCAGCTGTTTGTAAACGTCTTAATGAGGCACACACTGCAAACACTACTTACTACTTCTTAAGCAATGTTCATTTTAGAACCCCAGTATTTCAAAGTAGACTTATTTTTCCTTACCATCAATAAGACAAAACTGTTTTGAAATGCCTCCACTTACATTCACATCTATCCCTATGCAGAAATGGATTAATGATGAGAACTGTCATTCTCCTTGATCTGAGTGAATCAATGGGTTTTGTTGCTGTACTCCCCTGCCGAATGGTCCTAAGACAATTGAAGCTGCAGCTTACCAGTAAATTTCTTCTGCTTTGGCCTCACTTACAACAAAACTTAATTTTAAAAACTGACAGCCCTTGGTTTAAGATGCATTTCTTCTTTTTAACCACAGCTATCAAAATATTTTCTAGCAATACTATTAAAATAAAGAATTTAAACTGACAACATGAATACTGCTAATCCTGTGGAGGAGGGAAGGAAACAGCTAAGTTGACTACCACAGGTATTTTTTACATATTTCTTCTCAAAGAATGGGAAACATATCTTACCGTAGTTGAACTGACTGTTTGACTTTTCACAGTTGATGATGTTAAACCGGTAACCAATGCTAGTTTTCATTCCACTGACTTCAAAGTAGAACCACTGATGGTAATGATTGCTATTTATATCTGAGTTCAGAATTAGATCATACTCATTTCTGAAAATTAGCAAAATCATATCAATGATCATAAGAAGCAGAAATAAAATATCTAAACCATGAAAAGTAGAGTTGAAATATCTTACTTTCTGATCTGAATAACTTTGCGCAGGTTTCCAGATTCAAATTTGGAATTAAACTTCAAAACATCTGCCTCCTCTGGTACAGAACAACTATGAGTAGAAAAAGGGACCAAAATGAATAAAATGAACTTAGCTAAACCAAATAGGATTATTTTAGTCCTCACTTGTCAATTCAGAAACTATTTTGATCCTTCCTCCAAATATAGCCCATATAGCAAAAGCACTGTTAGGTCAGATCAAACTTTGTATGTAATCTGATGTAAATGTTATGAGTCACACCACAGAGAAAGTAGAACTGGTTTAGACTATTACTTGAATATTGTTTACAGAAAGGTAAAAACTTACCTCAAATTATCAAGGTCATATACAACTCTATCTATAATGTCATTTTGATAAATCAGCCTTTCAATATCTTGACAGATTTTTGTCCTAAAAAAGAAAAGCAGAGTTCTCACTTAAATTGTCACCTACTGTTTCCAATCACAAAAGAGGAATTGCCTCATACAGGAAAACTAATGAAGTTGACATGAAGACAGGGGTACAGTTCAGACAGACCTCAGCTTCACCCCCATTTATGTGTGCAAAGTCAAGGCGTACTTAAGCTTAAACACCTGCATTCAGAGCTGCCTGAATCCAGTATTTGTACATGAGGGAACTGAGTTTTCATTCACACACTCACTGGGTTTTATCTGAAGGAAAAAAATGCAGTTTCATACTTTATAACAGAAGCAGAAATTACTCAAACATTACTTATGTTAATGCTTTAACACATGACAACACTTGATAACATTAGTAACTTAAATGAATCCTACCACAACCAAAATTAAAGAGTTTTAGAGAGTAGATCGTACAGTAAGTGTGTTAGTGAACTAGCTTTTCACCTCTGAAGATCTAGGTTCATTTATTGACTACATAACAAATAAGAAAGAATTTGGTGATGTCAGCCAAATTTCAGGTCTGTGCTTATCCACATCATAAAACCATTGCACAACTGGCAGTATCTAGGTCCTGGCTTGGAAAAGTAAGAATGTGTTGCAGTTCAAGAATGAAATATAGTGGCAGAGCTGTGTGGAAAAGCTTGCACAGCACCTGCAATAAGAAGAAAAGGAGGTAGATTAACAATGAAGAATACAGAAACAGAATGGTAAAGTACATTCAGGCTGGAAATTCTCAGTTTAATTAAAATAAATACTATTAACAAATGAGAAACAGATGGTAAGTGCATAACTCTAGCACATTGTATTAAATTGAAATTAACTGAAAAAGAAAATAAGTCACAAGTTCAACTGACAATATTGTGACAAGGCTGACTCACCAGAATCCATCTGAATAGGTTCAGATCAGGACAGAATTATAGATTTGTGACCTTACACTTGATCTTAGAAAACTCATTCGATCTTGGCATGCCTCACCTCTAAAATGCCATAACACTTCCTAATATCACAGAAGTTTTGCCAAGACAAAATCCATCAATGAAAATTCATTGTAAGTATTTTATAAATAATAACATCCTTTAAATACCATTATAATAACCAGTATAGATGAAAGCAAAGAAGAAATAGCATTCAAGAGTAGATTCAAGAAGGAGAAGTAGTAGCAGACATTTTCACGTTCCAAAAAATGAAGATAAACTATTTAAAGAAAATTAAAGGAAAAAGAAATCCAGAACCAACATTGTTGATGTGAGCCCTATGCTTAGAGATTACTGCTTTGTGGATCGTGATGATTAGAAAACACTAAAGTGTACAGAAAAAAAACCCTAAGCCAACTAAATTTTTAAGGAATAGAAATACTCCAGTTTATAGGGTATTTTACTATATAATAATTCTCTTCCTAAAAAGATAGAGCAGTGTAAAACACTTCAACCATAATCAATTTCATTTATCCTAACAGTAATACATTGGTGAGATATTTGGTAATAATTACATGCTACTAAACTTAAAAGAGAAAGAAGAAGCACTCCAAAGCACAAATTCAAAAGCATTTAATCTCCTGGCACATTGCAAGACTAAAATATACCCCCAAATCCTACATTGTCCTAATAAAAATAAGAAGAAAATCCATTAGGTCACACCTTAGACCCCACACAATATTTTCACAAATTACATGAATGGATTAAAGCAACTATTTATTTTCCAGGTAAGACTTACCCAATGAGCAGTAACTAAGTGCTTACCTGACAGAGAACATAAATCACACTGAATGTCAAGAGTTAGGACAAAGCTTTGTAAAAGACTTTAAAGCTTTTCCATGTCCCCTACCAAAAAATTTTTATAATCCACTATAAAATATGAAATCATGAAAAGATTATGCCCTTTTTAAACAAGGTCTCAGGAGATTTTTATGTTGCAGTAACAAGATTGAGTTGTTTGTAGAAAACAGAATTCTTAAAAAAGTATTCCTTAAAAATGTGATACAGGATTTTTGATTCAAGTTTAGCCATATTGCCTGCTGTTTCATTCTTGTTCCTTCAAGACCTTAAAACTTTCAACATAAAAAATACAACAAAAAATAGAACATTTCAAGGTAAAATATACCCTAAAATTATCTTCATGGTCTAGAAATCAGCCTTATGTATTATCGTACAAGATTTATTTCTCCACTGCTTTATATCTAACAATGAGAGAAATTGTATCCAACTTTACTCAATTTTTTTATTCAGGGAAATTAATAATTATTAATTACTACAAAAACATACATAAGCATTTGCAAGATTTGTTTAAATGCAGTTCTTAGGTGATTTCTGACTCAAGACTATCTCCCTTCTAAATCAGCTGAATCTAGCTAATAAATAACTTGCTGGGGAAGATTCTCCTCCTTCATTACGCCATTAGTGTTCCAGCAGTTGTCATTTCACTACAAAGATCACTTTTTCATTACTTGTGTGAAATAGCTGAAGGATTTTCATTCAACCAGCTAAAGGCACTTAATCTCTTAATAATTTTAATATCTAAATATAAACATAAATCATTAAGGTGGTTATAGTTATGAGTATAAAGGTGAAGGCATTCAGTCTCATAATTAGGTAAGTGGCAAGGTCGCACAGCTCTACATGTTCTTCTAATGTACTCACATGTCTTTACAGTAACTCACTATGTAATATTAGCCAGTTCTTCATACCACTTCTGCAAATTATTCTGAAGAATCTCATCTCTCTTCATCATCTTCTATTATCTCTCAGTGAAGAAATAAAAGGGTGTGTTGATATGCTTTTGTTGTATGTCATTCTGCAGTACCTAACACAAAGCGCATCCTCTGCATTTGTTAACTCAAAATTCTCTTATACTGTGAACACTAAAGCCAAACACTTTAGTGTATTTTTTAACTTTTTGTACTATGTTTCCCTGAAAGACAGATTTTTAGTTCAGCAGAGAAAAGAGGTGAAGAATCTTTTCATTATTAACTGTCCCATCTTTGCTAAGACCTGAAAGGAGCATTCAGGTGAGGATTTTTTAGTTTGGTTGGTGGTGGGTTTTGTAGGTTGGCTTGTTTTTTTGCAAACTACAAAATTTACATGAGAAATGATGGGAAGGCAGAAAAGGAAAATATAAACTGAATTTTATATTTAGAAATTGAATCCCAGAATTAGCAATTACAGAATCAGACTGTGTTCCTCATTATGGCTCTGTGCTGATCAATACATACTCACCTACCTTCAAACTGCTTTTCACTGGAAACAGTTTTAGATGCCCAAGTAAACAGTGTAACAATTCTTGTTAATCACAGCCATAGTTAGGGTTGGGACCTCTGGAGATCATCAGGTTTATCTCATCCTAAACACTGTTTCTCCAAGGAATTAAAACAACAACAAAAAAAAGGAGCATGGTAACTCACCTCTGTACCCCATACCGCCTTTCTAGAATAGGTTCCTTAAATGGGGGTGGAATATGGCCAAAATAATCTGGATAGGCCACTTCTGAGTATTCTGGAATAGACTTTGTGTTCTTCACCATTTCAAGATAAAGATCGCAGTCATGAACTGGTGATACATCAGAAACTTGAAACATGGCATGTTCTCCTGGTGAACTAGATCTGGAATCCTCCTCCTCCTCCTCTGAATCCACTCCAGTGCAGCAGAGTTTTCCCAGCTGGACAGATGATCCTTCAAAGAGACTACCTCCACAGGGTGAAACATGCTCACAGGGTTTACTGCAAGCAGGTGTGGCAACACTAGCTTTGCTTTCTTTCTTTACTACAGACTCTGTACCATAACATTGATAATTTTTTGCACTGCTCTGGAGACTGATTCTGTCCAAGCCTTTCACAATTTCTTGGCTTAGATACTGGCATGATGGAAGCATGTTTCTTTGATCATTTTGCTGATGTAAACTACTGCCTTTCATGCTATCTTTCTTTGGTAGTTCCAGAAGCACTGGCCTTCTATTGTATTCCTCTGTCAATAAAGGACTGCACTCCTTTAAAGCAACTCCTTTTGTTGACGGGTTTGCTTCAGCAGAGTGCTCCTCACTGGCTGTAGGAACAACAATAGGCCCACTCAAATTTGCATCAGGTATAAAAGGCTTTGGTTCCTTGGACACTAAGTCCCATTCCTTAAAAAAAAAAAGGTGAAAAAATAATTTAAAAAATTATTAACAAAAAAAGTAAACAGTTCCCCAGTTTCATGTATATTAGAAACATTTTCCTTTCCTTGTTTTAAATGTAATTTAAAAGGTGACAGCTGTTATAAGGCATCAGAGCAATGAAGTTTGTATTTTACAAGAAGGCCTTGAAGCAATAACAAGCAGTTCATTAAAAACAAAGTGTAAAGTCAATGCAATGGCCCAGATATTTTAACTACCTATTTAAAGTAGGTGTACAGCATTTAAGGAGACGCCTCTCTCTTAAGCACTCTCAGAAATCTTACATCCTTCTTCAATATCTTACTTTCTGCTGTATATGATAATCATACATTAGAAAACAGTTTTCCTTTATATCTACCCACAGTACCACCTTCTCAGTAAGACTGAAGCAACCACAACACATAATTAAATAACCTACAATAAAGTACTCCCATATGTAGGTGCAGAACTGCACACCCCTGATTCTTGGCTAGAGGAACTATCCACCCAAAAAACAACATCCAAGTATATTCCAGAGTCAACCTGACATGGCCAGAAATGTCCTGGGAACAATATACTTTACCTGAAAGTTTTCTGAAAGTTCTGGGAAAAATCGCTCATACATTTTCAGTTCTTCTATGGGTCTTCCCAATTCCTGTCTAGGTTTCAGTTTATTAATATCACTCTCAATATCATCATTCTGAAAGATCACCAGAATAAATTAATCTTGCATCCAGAACGAATTATGTTCTACAACATCAATCTGAAACATTCACCTTTCCTCCTGGTAGAGCCATGCTTTAAAAGATAAAATACCACTATTTCAAAAGTAGCTGAACTGCAGCCTTCACCATGAAGATTTAGACTGCTCAGTACTATTAGTACATCTAAGCCTCTATTTCAACATCAATTCACAAATATCTCAATTTTCTTGCTTTCATCCAAACTTATACACAGATACCAGATTTTACATGAAATCTGTGCATATTGCCAGCACAGAACCTGGAATGTGAAGACTTAATCTGATTGCAGACAAAGCAATACTGCTTGTATGGAAGATACTCCTTCCACCAGGGCTCATGAGATCCTTGAATACAGTATGTTTTTCCAGTTCATGGACAAGCAATTCTATTAATTCCTAAATACAGATAACATAAAAATACAGAATAAGGCAGTTCTGACTAAACACCCATCCATGTCCCACCTGGCAGCTAGGGAACAGGAGAATACCCCTAAGTGGTACAAGTTAGAGGTACCTCTACAGCTGGCTGAACTTCAGCTACCTTGCTGAAACATTGATCTAGTCAATCCCAGTCCAGAATGCTGGAAAAGGTTAGAGCAGCTCCTACATATGGACCAGCTTATGTGAGAAAAGCAGGCTGAGAGAAGTATAAGTTGGGAAGAGAACACTGCTAAAGGAGTCTGTGGTTCTGTTCCACTGCAGTCCAGATACATCAAGTGTGAAGCAAACAAATTTTGACAAAAATGCTGAAGCAATCTGAACAAGAATGGTTGATATTTTCAAGCAGCACCCACCTTCTTTAAGTTTCTGAAGCTCTTTTAATTCTATAAATTGCCCTGAAAATCTCCTCAAACTTCTTCTAACGCTTAAAATGCACTTATATACCAGATTAAACAACTTAAGCAACTTAAATAAAAAATTGCTATACCAGACTTTTGCCTATTAATTTTGTGTCCACTTATATACCAGATTAAACAACTTAAGCAACTTAAATAAAAAATTGCTATACCAGACTTTTGCCTATTAATTTTGTGTCCACCAACCTTAAAATGTTGGTCCTTGTCATCATCAATTTCAGTTTCAATTTCTGATTCTGTTTCAGCATCATCGTTATCATCACTTTCATCCACCACATCATCCACTACAATACAAAAAGGTTTTGTAAGGCAAACTATACATTTAATCCAATTATACATGCTCAAAGAAGATTGTCAATGTTCTGGATTTATTTACTTTTTCATGTACTGCTTGAAAAAAATGTGAAAACCAACTAGTAAATTAGTGCTGGGGGGTTTAAGTTTTCTCATAGTGTTTTCCATGCAGAAAATTTGCTGATTGTCATTAAAAGGCTCATTCAGAGGTTTACAAATTACACTGATTTTTTAGTGTACTCAGAATTATTATATGTACTGGTTTTACAATACTGACTATACAAGACTATACTTTTAATAAACCCAGACCTCTACCCACCCAACAACATTCCACATGTCTTTTAATATAAAATTTCTTCCTTTTAAAGCACTATGTATCCTATTTTCTATTGGTTTTTCACTTATTTTTATAATAGGTAACAAACCTATTAAAAATCATATCATTAGTTCACTTTAGTAAACTAGGACATTTCTAAACAGGTATTATACAGTACCAATCTACTACATTGAGCAGAGATTTAATTTTTGTGGGTTTTGAAACACACTTCTAAATCTATTTTCTACTTTGAAGACAAAACATAAACAACCTTTGAACTACTGGAGTCTGACCCACGTGAAGCCCAATACGATAGCTTACTTTCAGACTATGATTACATTTTGTTTCAGGAGATATCATGAATAAAAGATATTAATAAGCTGACTTTGACCCTTCATTTCAGATTAACTTTCTGACAGCAACTTCATTAGTTGCTTACCAGGTCTGAAGCTGTTTCACCTTATTGGAATATGTATTAATTACCTGAAAATAATGAAAGGTGTTCACAATGGGATGAATCGATTTTCTACAATGAACCATATAAATGCTTTGCAGTACAGTGTTTTCTAAGAGACTGCAAGAGTCCAAGAAAGCAGCTCTACTTTCTCATCATGCAAATAAAGGAATAACCACAATAACATATAAAAGCCAGTGCTTCAAATGGAAAACCTTAATCTAAATTCATCACATCCTAATTATCCAAGTAATAAAAAGAAAGGAAGGGATACAAGCTCCTGTAAGACAGGATGTACACTACAACACGTTACACGTAGGAGAATGTATATGCTACATGAGTTGAAAGGAGAGACCATTTAAGTTTGAATACAGCCTGTTCTTTACACTTCAGAGTTTGGTGAACATCACCTTTTTGTCCTTGTTTCCTCTTTGATTTTATAACCACATGTGCCTGGACAAAATTTCTACCACTTTAAACTTAACATTAGAAACATGTGCCTGGACAAAATTTCTACCACTTTAAACTTAACATTAGAAACTAGTGCTCCACACCAACAGTCACAGACCCTTTGCTCGTTGAGAAGTGTCTCACAGTCCTTTCAGCAGAGAATACAATTAAGTGCAATTGATTCCACTTTTCCATAAAGCAAAATTAGACATACTCAAGGACAAAGTACTACAAAATCACCATACCATCGGGAGGCAAATTGTACAGCTGAGCCACAGGACCACTGGCAGGAATAACTGGGAGTTGGAAATGGAAAGCACTTTTAATAGTTGGTAAAGGAAGACGATTTTTGGGAAAACATTTTCTCATTATTAGGCTGGATGTATTGACAAGAGGATCAAGAGTTCTTACTGCAAGGCACTCCTGTTAACAGAAAAATAAAGAAAAGTATTTCTCAAATTGAAAGTCAAACTGTGTTTATATACTATTTACAAAAAAATTGGTTCACGCCTTCTTTGAAGGACAGAAAAACTCCTACCAACTCAAATTCACCTTTAGAAATCCAAACTTCACCACAGAAAGGCATTTTCACTCTCTCTTTTTTAAAACTAAGTTCAACTGTCCCTCCCAGAGATAGCCACAGCAAAATAACAACAAATACAAATTTAATTTTATACTCTTTCAATGTTTCAGTGGGGTACAGAATATAATCCTTATTCCCATAATCAGGAATGACCATCAGTCTCATAAAAGAAATATGACAAACTTGAGGTCATAGCCAAAAAGGCAAAAACAACAACATAAAAAACCCTATCAGGATAAACTTACCTGTGAAGTGTTGTAAAGAATTTTCATCCCATTGGCATCAATAAATGCTTTTCTTCCCAGTTTGATGTTTGTAACACTTTTAATGCACTGTAACACTCCTTTACGTATCAGCATGTATCTGTGTCGACTATCGTGATGGTGCCAATCAACATAAATCGTTATAAGCACCTGCACATATCCTCTGTCTACTGCTCTCCTGGCATTTGTTTCTTTGCAAAAAAAGTTAGGAAAGAAAATTAAAATTGCCCAGTGACTTCGATATTACTTTCAAATTTTACTTTCCATGTTTAAATTATTCTTTTTATCCAAGTAACTGAATTGTTTCAGTTTGAGTAGTATTTTAGCCACCCTTAGCAGAGTTTTACATCAACCTAAACAGAAATTACTGGAAAACTAAGACCAGTAGCCTAAACCTAATTGTAACATTTCAGATAATTTTCATGGTTTCCTAGAAGAACAGCATGTATTACATTTAAAAGGCAATTGTAAGATGCTGTCATCCAGTAAATTAAAAACCAAAAATATTTCTACAAAGCATATATATCACTATCTACACACACTATCCAGATACAAGATTTGAAACAAACTTCTTTTCACTAGCAATCCATACAGTTTCACAACTATCATTCAAATTTCATAAGCTGAAAATACTTCTACCCCAAAGAGTGGGTAATCAGTATGACAGCTAGACTATATATAGCAGACTAATGTTGTTAGGAAAATATTTAATTATATAAAGTATATGAAGTTACAAGTTAAAACCACTAAGGAGAAGACATCCCTAAATAAATGAACAAGACCTCCTGTTTTAAAGACACACCTTTTGAACACTTCATTTTCCTCCCCAGTATTAAAGTTTAACTGCCAATTCACAGAATGGAATACTGACAACAATTTGGAAATATTTCTTTCCCTAAACTTCCCAAGGAGAAATTGCAAAATTCATTAACACACAAACCTGTAAGACCAAGGTATCACACTGAATAAACATGAATAAACTCAGCACCCTGTGATAGTCAGTACTGAAATTTCTCACCATTTGTGTGAAATGGCTTTCTGCAAATCTCATCACATCTCAATTCTTATTCAACTCCACTAAAACTACTACTTTAACACAACTATTTCGAGAAAATGAGTTTTTAATTCCTTGCTAGTTACAATGCTGCTTCAAAATCTGCAAAGATGATGTTGTGAGGATCAATTGCTGCTGGCTGAGACAGCCCATGTCTGGAATCACACCATTGGTTTTGTTACCTTTAATTCCACTTCATGAGCATCACTGACAGATTTGTTATTGGGACCCAAATCCTAGCTATTCAGGAAGGTACTGAAGAATACCTGTAATTTTCCCTAGGCATCCAACAGATATTTTCAGATGTATGTGTAAAAAAGAGGCACAGGAGTTAAGCTATAGACATCTATTATTGAATAGCTGAGGTGAGTGAATGCAAAAAACTATTTGTCCTCCTTGGACCTAGATCAGCTCTGCAGAAGCAGTGCAGCCTTTCTGCTGCATAACTGACAAAACACTAACCAAGCATTAAACATTCATGTATATACAACATAAATAAAGTATCAGAAACTGCAGATGAAACTTATTTATATGTTTCCTAGCCTTATTTTTGTTTTGGCCACCAATTTAATGCTTAGTTTTACTGTGTCCATATATACACACACACCCATTATAGCTCAAGTAGACATTTTCTTGTAGTCAAACACTTACTTGATTTTAGCAATGCAGCAAGTGTGTCTAAAGCAACCCTGTCAACATAACAAGAAAAGTCAAAACAGCAACCAACCAGTAAGCTTAAAACTATACAAAATATTTACTGCTTACAGACTTATAAAGAGTCTAACTTCATGTTTTCCTGGTTGCACTGTAGCACAGACTTCACTTTTATATTACTACGAGATCATGTATTTGAAGTCTGATGACAAAACTTAAAAATATCAACGCAACATCGATAGAAACTTCCAGCTTTTGCAAAAACACTGTGACAACGTAATGTTTATGACCAACACTCACTGGTTGTGATATTCTGAAATTCATGTCTTTGTTAGCAGCAAGAACAAGTACTTCCACAAAGTAAAGGACATTATTTTAGAAAAGTGTAGGCCAATACCTGCAGGCAGTATATGAATATACTGAGAAGCAATGCCCATCAATCTGTACTACAACACAAGATGATCAGCATGAGATTTTTCTTGTACCCAAAGATCTTCTCTCAATTCAACTGTGCAACTACAAAATGTACATACTTATTTTTCACCTCTTTATGAAGATAGATTTGATTCATCTGATCTTAGACCATAAACAAGGATATCATGATTAGTCACATCATAGAATAGTACGTTCAAATCTGGAATTTTAGCTGAGCCTTAAAGGAACAGGACATGTTTTTTGAACCCTACTCCTGTGATCACAAACACCAGATTTGATCACATATCAAAATGTGATCTATTTCTTTTTGTAACAAAGTTAGAATATGCACAATATGAGATGAATACTTTGCTAATCAGACGAAAAACTTAATTTTCCACTGGTATACACTTCAAAAAGGTGGAGTATATAAAGAAAGGATTATCTTCAGTTACATCCACTTGGCTACTTTTTAACACTACATTCACCCAAAAAACCCAATCCAAATTAAAAAAAAAAACAAAAAAACAACCAAACAAAAGGGCCCAAAATCTACAACCACCACCAGAATGGGAATCTAAAATCACCACTTTCACCTACACAATGAATTTTAATTTTTTTAACATAATAGCCCACAAGACAGTAATTGCTGAGGCTTCCTATTCCATGTTTTATGTTCTTGCCCCAAATGTCTATTTGATTTGCAGAAAAATGGAAAAAAAATTTATCATCAAACAAAAGGGACAGTGTCACACTAAAAGCACAAAGCAGATAATAGAATTCGCTGAATTGGAAAAGACACACAAGGATCATCAAATCCAACTCCTGGCCCTGCACAGCACCACTCCCAAGAGTCACATCCTGTGCCTGAGAGCATTGTCTAAATGCTCTTGAACTCTGTTAGGCTTGGTGTTATAGAAACAAACTGAAAAATGATGGAATTGTCTTGATCTACTTGTTATGATTTGGGGTTAACCACTGTACAGTTTCCATGCAAGAATATTAAAGATAAAAAATAATGCATATTATTTTACCAGTACTGCAACCAGACATTCAAGTATTTTGTGTTTATCTACCGGGAAAAATTAAAATTTCTCATATTTGTGATACTCCTTCCCATCACCCTTCACTTTAATCTTCAAATATTAATTGCACTTGATTGCTCCAATATTGTTTTTCATTTACAAGTAAGTTTTGAAAAAACATACAAGGTTTTACCATCTAGTGTATTAAAGAAATCTTACTTACTTCATAAGGCTTGTGTTCCTTTTACTAAAAGGGCCAATAATCTTAAACATCAGTTCTACTACTCCATTCTTTCCCAGAGATACTGCATTTACAGCTGGAAGTTAAAAGCAATTCATTTTAACATAATGTAGTAAGAAAGGCAAAAGAAAAAGATCCATATACTCAAAACTAAAAGTCACACAAGTTAATTTTCAAGTACAAAAATGCTAGACATTTTAGTCCTTTAAGACATACAGTGACAAGCAGACACTACTCTACACATAATTTGCATGACAACCTAATCCTGATAAAATTGGGAAAAGAAGAAAACTTATTCATTACTTTACAAAAAAAATCACATACTACTTCCAATGCAGGCTTCTGCTTTCTTTGTTACTAAGATACAACACAAAACAAATTTTCTTTATAGAAATTCACAGTTTACTGAAACAGCAGGTTTTCTAAAATTTCAGGTTCTATGACTTGCTGTCATAGAACATGACTACAGCCCTTCAGTATTTGACAAACAAGTATATTCACCAGGATATGAAATCCAAGAATCTGCTATAAAATTTAAAAATGCCAATTGGTAGAGCTTTCCTGAACTACACGTTCTGAATACATGTTCTCAGAAAAAAAAATATAAAAGTAATCTATTTGAATGGGAGCTAATGAAAGGAAATTATGCTAAGATCCATGTTAGAGAAATATGTGCTCAAAGTATATGTTTGAAGTCCAACAGCCAGCTCAAAAACTTCTGACACAGAGAAATTCCATCCCTGACTGAGTTTAGCAATGTGTCCTCCTAACAAACTAGGAAGAGAGTAGCTAAGAATTTACTTCAATATAATAAACACTGTTACCACTGTAGAATTTAGTACGTGAACTCAAATGGCAATTTCATCATCATTAGCAGCAACATCATAACAGAATCTAAGTTAGGACTTACTCTAATAGTAACTATACACAAACTTGGAGAAAATCAGAAAATTACAAACTACTACTTTTTCTATTCATAAAGAGTGAGAAATACAGAAAAACAGAACTGATCTAAGAAGTCATATTAGAGACAGTCCCATTTCCAGGATGAAGCAAGTTTTCGGGTAACCAATGTGACTAATGTTACTCTCTGTATTAGACTTTTCATTTTAGGAGTGTTTCACCTCATTGTCAGGACAGCTCAATAGAAATAAATCTTCCATGTTTCGAAAATATTGAGGCTTTATGAATTATTGCTGCTCATGTGAATGACCTGAAAACATAATCTTACAGATTCTCTGGGGGGGCAGGACATGGCCACGTTTTAAATTTCTTGCACATAAATAAGAAGATTAACAACCATTTCAAGCTCAAATGAAAAAATTTAAAGCATCTAACTTATAGTAGAGATACAGAAAGAACCTCACTATTTTCATCAATTTTCTACTGCCTGCCCAAACAACTAGGCTCTTGTGGAAGAATGTTAGTCCAACAGTGGAGAGTGGAGCTCTTGAACAAAACAATTAAGGAAAACGTTAAATTAAGAACTAATTAGGTTAAATTGAAATATTTTCTCTGTTAACCAAGTTCTAAATTGGTAATAAAGAAATAAATATAACATCAGAAATAAAAAACATGAGAATGAATAATAGAGTAATTATTTATCTCTAAGTGCTTCTGCAAGCAAACTGTTAGCATTTCTGGTTTAGAGATTTAAACATCAGCATTTATGCAAAGTAGATGGCTCAAAATTCTACACACCCAATAGCACTGATCAAAAAAAAATTTTCTAGAATTTAAGCATTTTAAAGATATAAGGAGAAAATTCTCAGAAAAATAACTAACATTAAACAAGCACTCAGAATTGATATTTTAACCTTATCTAGATAAAAAGCTTTTTTCACATAGGAAAGAAAATAATTTTCTGCAATACTTACAGTTGGTTGAATAAACCCTTAATACTTGAAGACATGGCAATACTAGCCTGTGGTTCTGCAAATTATGCTTCACTAAATTCAATGGTATGTTTAGGACACCATTTATTCTTGCTTTCATGCCAATCTTCTTGTCTGACATCAAAGAAATACAAGACAAATCACACTGATTTTGAAATTGCTAAAAAAATAGAAGTTAAATTACTGAACCCTTTCTACTGAGGTAAACTCTGCTTATCTACTTTCCACCATTCTTTCCTCCCCTCTAATTTACTTCACTATTTTTTTACTTCTTTACCAATTCTGAGTATGGAGATGCTTACACAATAACAATTATAAAACTGTAATTATTAAGCCATAATGTCACCTTTTGGGCCAATTTTCGCAAGAAGAGTATGAAGAAGCACCATTAGTTCTTCATTTGGTGGAGAGTCTTTGCTGGCAGTCAAAAGCAGCTGTAACAAGATCTGTGTCCCTCCTTTGGTGACTAAGACACTTGCTCTCCGACCACCACCTAGAAGTTAAAACTGAATTGATACAACTAAAGCCAAATAACAAATAAATATCTAAGATACAGTTATGATTAAGTTAGTTTTTAAAACATCAGTATTTTCTTCATATATGACTGCACTATGCAAGAACTTCTAGACTTCCACTTACAGCAACAAACTATTGTGTAGGATTATTAGAAAGATAACTTCAGTCTTTACATTCTTTTAATTCTGCATATGCTTCAGCAGTCAACAACAAAAACCAAAATAATGGTATTTTATGAAAAATCCAACAACAATAAAAATAACTAGAGAAAAAAAACCAAAAAATATTTTAAAAAGCAAGCATAAATATAATCATATATTACTCCTTAATGAAAACTTACCAACTGAGACTATCTCAATGAGAATATTCAATATATTTAGAATAGTTTGAGGATCTCTTGTATTCTGCAATAAAAAACAGAGATCTGTGTTTAACATGCAGTCTAATAGTGGTTTGGATACTTAAAGATAGGAGGAATTGCCACCACAAAATTAAATAGAACTTTGGATGTACCCACATAGCAACCATCCCACTATTCAGCCCAAATTAACCACAAAACCAATTAAAACACACTTTGTAGTATGATACATCAATTAGAATTGATAGGTGACAGGCAATTGCTTAAAATACCTAAGTATAAGGGAGAGAAAATCACAAGTAGGTTACTAGAAGAAGTATCTATTCATAACAGACCAACACAAGTTTTGAGGACTCAATAGGATAACAACATATTTCATAATACGAAATACATACATTTCATAATGATAAAATGCAAAACTGCTATGAACCCATAACCAAAAAAATTAAAAGATTTTACCTCTAGGGTTGACAGGATAACTTCTATTCCAGTGGAGCCCTTAGAAGTCATCTCCTTTCTGGTTTTTTCTGTCACAGAAAAAGACCAGTATTGGCTTGTAGTAAAAAAATAAGTTATCATCTACAAATTGACAAGAAAATTTACACTGCAAATAATAAAACTTATTAAAAAATACATATGTGTGTATACTAAGAACGAAGTAAAAGACTTAAGCAATTTTAAAACTGATTTTTATTTTCAATTGTTCGGCAATTTTGTGATGGCCTAGAAAAAAAGAGTTAAGCAAAATATCAGTAGGAAAACTGCCTTCCAGATACTTCTACTCTTTACATATATATAAAATACAGACATATATACATATGAAGTGAATTATTACTTAAATTATAGCTATTTGGCAAACACAAAATGGACTCAGCACTACCAATACTATACTAGATATATATGGTATTAAACAGATGTTTTCAACAAAGAGTGACAAAAACAGATGTATAATCAAGTTCACTAAATCAAAACTTAAGTCTAACAAGGGAGATACAAAAAGCAAGGGTCAAAAGGGAAACTACTAAAACCACAAAGGTTAGATAATTACCTTGACTCTGGACCAGATGAAGAATCCTTGAGGTAACATATCTGGCATTGTCTGATTCTCCTAATACAGAGTCCAAATTTATCTTCTCCAGCTGCGACAGCAGGGATATAGTCCGAGAACTGGCAGAAACACTACAAAAAAGAAATTATTTTTTCATCTAAATCAGAGAAAAAAGCTCCTAACAACAGAAACTTGATGCTAGAGTAAAGGGTGTAGCTAATTCATTTCCATATTTTATCTGGATTGGAAAACAGTCGTAATTCTCAATTCTGGCAAATCTACAGATTTTGCAAAGCCTGCACTCTAACAGACTAATTGTATGTAACAGCATCTCGAACAACAACTGTGAACAGGGAAATCAGTTGCAGCAAGTAAAATTCAGCTATAGGTACAAATGTTCTTTATCTATGCCATCTAGAGTAACTTATATTTAATAATTTATGTTAAGTGACAGGATACCCTATCCAACCTGCCCTTCAAGGAAAAACTGGCTACAAACAGACTGAAAGGAAAAAAAAAAGCTCGTCTCACAGGATGGCATTTCAGAAAGGGAAGAAAATGTCATTTGTGAAGTGAGCAAACTAGCACACACCAGCTGAAGAAAAAGAACACCATTTTGAAGAAAGAAATATTATGGTTTCTAAAATTATCATCTAAGTTTGGATTCATTTTGACTGCAAGGGCATTTGACCCTCTGTCATGGGTTTATGCTGGCTGCAGGCCAGGCACCCAGCAAAGCCACTCACTCACTCCCCTCTGCAGCTGGACAGAGGAGAGAAAATTTAATGAAGGGTCATGGGTTGAGATAAAGACTGCAAGAGATCACTCACCAAATATCATCATGGGCAAAACAGACTCAACTTAGAGATATGAAGGGAATTTATTACTGACAAAATCAGAGCAGGATAGTGAGAAAGTAAAATAAGCCTTAAAAACAGCTTCCTGCCACCCTTCCTTCCTTCCAGCTCTGCCTCCTACCCCAGCAGCACAGGGAGACAGGGAATGGGGGTTATGGCCAGTTCACTCTTTTACAGGGTACAGTCCTCCAAGGACAGGCTGCTCCAGCCTGGGGCCTCCCTTGGGTTCACAGACTCCTTTGTGCATCCACCTGCTCCGGCCTGGGGCTCCTCCACCAGCTGCAGGTGGATCTCTGCATCCCCATGGAGCTCCATGGGCTGCAGGGCACAGCTGCCTTGCCAAGGTTTGCACCAGGCTGCAGCAGAACCTCAGCTCTGGTGCCTGGAGCAGCTCCTCCTCCTTCTCCACTGACCTTGGTGTCTGCAGAGTTGTTCCTCTCACGTGTTCTCTCCCTACTCTGGCCACAATAACAACTTTGTTTTATCTTATCTTAAATCTGTTATCACAGCAGTGTTATCACCATTTCTGCCTGGCCCAGTCTTGGCCAGTGGCACGTCTGTATTGGAGCCACCAGGGATTGGCTGTGCTGGACATGGAGGAAGCTTCCTGCAGCCTCCCACAGAAGCCACACCTGCAGCCTCCCCCAGCTATCAAAGCCACCAAAAAATTGACTTGAAAATGTATTTTAATGTAAGACACCACTTCAGTCCAGGCATTTATATAGACAAGTAGAAAGAAAGAATTGCTCTGTTTATTCTAAAACAGAGTCAGTATAGAAACTGTTTTATTTGTTCTATACTTTCAGATAATAAAAATTATTCAGAATAGTTTTGAGATTCACATTCTAAATCATTGGACACATTACAGCCTGACAGTAATTTTTAAACAGATGTTTAACATTTTAATTGTAGTCATGCAATTAACTACAGGAAACTATGACTTCCAGGCATAAACTACTTTGGCTTTTCATTCATAACATTAAAGTCCTAAAATAATCAATAATTCATTTTACACACACGTTGCTTTATCTACAATAAAATTAAAGTCTACAATACTAGCTTTATGAATAGTCAGTCAGTTTTGTTTATAATAATGAGGAATTATTATTACTACTCCTTGATTTACATCTTACAAAGGTTTTACACTTACTGTTAACTATTTAAATGTTAAAATTATGGGGAAAAGTTAGTTGAGGGCAAAAGTTATAAGCCATGAAGGCAAATTGATGTGAGGGCTGCAGAGGAAACTGCTTCCACCACTCTCACTTTTCCACATGGACGTCTAAATGAGAAGCATAGCCAAAAATCAATTTCAGATTATAGATGATACTTCCAAGCTGCTAAGAACAAGAATAAGAAATGGTTATGTTATTTATAGCTCTTAAATAGGAGTAATTTTATATTGTGAAGTAAGCCTATCACCTTCTCAAGTATTTGACAGACTTTGATTTAACTTTTTTAAAAATTTAATTGTTAACATGTTTAATTATTAAAATTTAATTATTTTTTTATCTAAATTAAATCTGTCTTGCATGCTGAAACATTAATTTCCTTGTGTAAGTAAAGCATTATCACTTCAATCCTTTCTCATCATCTAACACTATGCTGTAGCGTACAAAGCCATTATTATTTGCATAAGCTTTGTTTTGCTTATCTCTGCTTCTCCGTTTATCCATTGAACTTGAAATGCTCCAAAACTGACACAAGATTGTAATGAAATCCATAAGCTCTGTTGATCCATACACAAACTGACCAAATTATATAGGATGTTATCTTCACCAGTCCCACAAGCAAAAGAAGTAAGAGTCCAGCCAATCCACATGTAAGCCGATGTGTAAGAGAACTACTGCTTCAACCTGTGTGTGTGTGTGCATGTCACTCCTATTGTGGTACACCATTGGTCCCACAATGAAATTAATGTAGTTGGAAAGGTGAAAACAATCCAAGAAAGCAAAGCTGATGCTCAGGAGTTATTATATAATAATAATAGTAATAATAGCAGTAACAATAACAATTTTTTTTAAGTTTTTGCAAAGATAGAATTCACTCATAGGCATTAAAATGTCAGAGCAAACCTGATTTTTGACTGCTGTGGTCTGGAAAACTCAAGCAACACTGACACATGGAGGCCATTTACCATGTACAAGAAGCTGGCATCTAACACAATTCCTCCATAGTTAATAAAAGCTTTAAAAGGTTTAGGGAGGGTAAATAATTCTCAGTACTGGGTGGTATAACAACTTAAGTTCTAAGATTTAGAGTTATAATAGCCTCCTGGGGACAGAGTTTCTACCAACAGCAATAACTGCTTATTGCAGCAGAGATATCTTTAAAATGGTTTTAGGCTATTCATCTTGTATAAAGTCTTCCAACATAAATACAGCTATCTACGTTTCATGTCTTCAGCATACACAATTAAGCATCCCTAAAAATTAGTACCAGCCAACACTCAAATGCAAATAAAGTCTTGATTTCCTCTTAGTTATGGCTGAGTTTTCTTCTTAAAACAAGAATTTTACTGTTATTTACCAATATTCTACCCTAATCTACATAGTGGTTATACAACTATTTGACAGTTTTCAATGCCTGCACAGTACATGAAAAAGATCACAGGACAGGAATTACAGCAGCCAGATAGACATAAAGCAGCAGAGTCAGTAATATTGCTGTGACCACCCCCTTGTCCTCAGAACAAAATGAAAGCACGAGTTGTAATGAGACTCTCTCATATTTGTAATGTAAACATGCATGTTTTGATCAATGTACCATTCAGCATCCAAATCTAGAAGACAGCTCTCCAAAATGGAGAGGCACCATGGAATTCAGTATTTCCAATCCCACAAGAACGAGTCAGAATGAACTCTGTCCTGTCCAAAGTATGTTTTTTCTCAAGCTGCCAACACTGTAGAACATCAAATGAATTCCCTGAAGACTGTGGCCAGACTTTTGTGGTGACCAGACAGAGACACAGCAGGAGCCAAAGACTCAGGGGGAAGAGCTGAAACTTTCCTGTGCTTGGACTTTCAAGGCATAAAAGCCCAGGGGTTCCTCCGTTTGTGGTCGCTCCTAGGAGGCACCAGCTGTGTTACTGCACCGTGAGTAAATTGGTTTGTAGAATGAGATATTGGAGACTTTGCTAAGGGAAACCTGGAGTCAAACTGGTAGAAACACAATGCAGACCAGTCTCAAGAATTCCAACTGGAGTATCCAACATGAATTTGCATAATTACCCATGAAACCAGAAGAAGATTAACTATGGTTTCTACTCAGTCAAAAGCCATTGTCACAAAGAATGGGATGACTCAGACTGACCTGACACACCAACATGCAGCTCTCCAGGTTTCAAGCTGCAGTGAGTACCTGAGCTTGTCACTGATGCTGGGGCACAGAAACAATATGAGACTGGTTTTGCCACAAGGTGAAGAACCCTTCTTGTTATTAGGAGTGACATTTTTCACCCCATCCATTCTAAAGCCTTCTCATAAGAGCACTCTGTCACTGAGGGTTACATAGAGTCTCTATTGTCTTTAATTCTGAAAAAAACATGACTAAAGAGCACCAGAAGAAACTTTATAACACCATAAAAACTATTCTTTTCAGATCTGGATAAAGACCAGAGCTGCTCTTCATGACATATATATGCCAAACCAGTCCCTGATGACCTGCAAAAATTATTCAACAACCATAGGCAACCTCATTCTTTATATCCCTTCATTTGAAAGATTTTCTCCCTGAAGTTTAATACTGTCATTTCAGGCACTTCTTACTAGAAATGCAAGTGTCCTTTACCTGTTCCAGTGACATACCTCTCTAAGCACAGTATCTTGCACATATTTCCATCAAATATTCTTAACCATTTTCTGCATTTTACGAGAGCATTTTGAAATAATTTACTCCTCCAGTAGTTTTTCAGATCTTTCGAGCTTCAAGTTGACCATAACTTCAACAACATGCCTTATCATGGCAGTTTCCCACCAGGCTGATGTCCAGCAGGGTGTCGGAGCCAGGATAACTCAGTGGAGGCTCAAGCAGCCTAAGCAATAGTGATTTTCAGCTCTTAGTGATTAACAGCTCTTAGTGATTTCCAGCCCTTTAGCTTGCTAGGTGCCGCAGCAGCAGATGCAGGGAGAGAGAGGAGAAGGCCGTGTGAGGTTCCGCAGGATTCTTTATTCTTCGGGTGTTCTGCGAAGGTTCCCAGTGACAGCTCTTCTGCTGAACCAGGCAGAATCAGGGGTTTTTATACCCTACAGGGGTTTTGGAAACTGTCCAATAGTAAGGGTCAGGAGAAAGTGACCTCTGGGCTTACAGACAGCTAAGCAGGGACCGAAGGAGGAAGAGAGGGGCTGCTAGGGTCCAGTCATGCTGACTTGGCATTTCCTAGCTCAGGCTTTTGGCCTCCAAGGAGGCTGTGCAGGCCTTGAGCCTGCTACAATGCCTCTCTTAGAGATCGTTAGTAAAAAAACTAGAATATTACAGCTAATTACCATTAGCTGTAACCAGAAAGAGAGAGAGGACATGCAGAAGTAAATAGTGCGCCATTTCCTTCTGCCAGACATCAACTACCACTGATCTTGTCTCCAGTCAGTGCTCTACTCTGTCCAAAGACAACCAAAAATTCTTATTTTCTGATGGATTTACACTTTCTTTAAGCATTTTGAGGCCAAGTTTACCAGGCTTAGTTGACCTGGTACACTTCATGTCTCCACAGGCAGGAAACTCTTTCTTCATGCTACATTGAAATGCTACCGTTCAAAATGCCCCTCACACCATCACTTTGCACGCACAAAGGAAGAACCCCTGTCCTTATGTCAACTTAGAACATGACTCTAGCTAACCAGGGAGCTTTGTGGATTTCCTCTTTCTCTGGTCAAGAAAGCCACAAGTAGACAATATGGAAGCATGGCCAGAAAGTGAAGAACAGAAGACTTCAGGGCTTCACACTTGAAAGAGAACTACCTCAACAATGGGTTCACATTTGAAAGAGAACTTCCTCAACAAGAAAACATCTTCTCAAAGAGAGATTCCTCATTACAGGGACACTTCTTTCACTCCCAAAGATTTAAGCATTTGAACTCCAATAATGAAGAAGTGATAGATTCACAATCCTCCATTACCCACTGTATGCCACTTTCACTATGCAAATTCTAAAACACATCATTGTATCTTTCTATATGTCTACCCACAATGAGAAAGATAACTCTGAGCCACGGCTGCTCATAAAAATTCAATTATCTTAGAATGGATTTTAGCTACTGACCTTGCAAGAAGCCTTACAAAATATAATAGTCAAATGAGGGATGTCATCTACTACTACTTACCTACTTCCTCTGAAGCAGCAGTCAGCCAGCACACAGATGTATAAGGGAGTTCCTTCTTCCCCCACAGTAAACAGATCTGCATTTTGGCACATTACCATGAGCCTTTAAAACAGGCAGGCTTCTCACGAGCTTGCCGGGATTTTATTCCAACACAAATAATTTCAAACTATGGTTTTGCGTTTTTTTCCTCAACCACTTCCACAGTTATCAAGTAATCATTAGAGAGCTGATACTTCTGATTATTCATAGCTATCTCTGTACACAGAGTCACCATAGCTTATTCATGACTTAGAGAACAACTGTTTTGAATTGCAGGCATGGAAACTTTCATTTTGTCTCTAAGTAAAGAAGAATAAATGGCACTTAAGTAGCAACTTCGCAAACATCTAATATTCTTTGTTATAGCATATTTTATGCACTACAAGTTTCAAGAATACTCATTGCTGACAGAGATCTTGCTTTGCTTATCATAATGCCTAAGGGGCTAGCCTACCACAAGAACAAAACATCAGAGTATTTTTACCATTTCTTTCTTCTCACAAAACCAGGAAAAACTGACCTGTATAAACCCTAACCCTGTTCCATCCAAAGTCAGCAAAAGTAAGGATGATTCTACATACAAGAATTTAAAGTCAAATTTTAAATAGCTCCCAACATACAAACATAATTCACAGCAGAATATGTTCTTCATGAAAATTCACTTCCACACACAGAAAATAACTAGTACTTCAGAAAACTAAGACTGAAGCTAGAATTCCCAATTTTGCTGACTTTCCTTTTTTTTTAAATCAGATTAGATTATTTGATTTAACAAATTGGTTTAATCTGTGCTACCTTAAGGAAAAAAAAGTAAGATTGAAAGCCTTTAAATAGTTTCCTGATGCTTAACAGCCTTCCAGAGAATCTCACAAATTTCTCAAATGCTAGCGAAGACAAGTTCACATGAAAATAACAAGCACAGCTTTTCAACCTGCCATCTTCTACATCCCACTTTGGTTTGTCCTACCTATGTATTGAATTGCAAGATTGTTGCAGGATGACATCTTTTGACAAATTCATGGTTTCTTATACAATATTATGAACATCTTTAATTCCTTCAGTAGAAAAAACTTTTTGTTTTACCTATATGTGCATAAAATCATGAAATTAACTAAATTTTCAATTAAATTTAATATGTATTTTATATTTGAACATGTCTAACATTAACTGAAGATTTAGATTTAAAAAGTTGTTTATTAAATGTGAAGATACTTTGTGTTAATCAACATTTACTTCCTCAGTGTTTCAGGACACCAACTAGAGACTCACAATGTGTATTTGATTTATCTTCTTACTAAGAAGATAAAGATATTCTTACTAAGATAAAGACTGTTTTTTCACAGGTCCCAAATAGCTTGATGTTAAGAGGTGACTTTAGTTTTAAATTTACCTTTTTTCAGATGATGCTTTTGTTTTGCTCATATCGGAAATATGATTCTTCAAATCACCATCTCTGACAACCTGTAAGATATTAAACAACTACCTATTATTGACATCTTTTGTTCTTTAGAGATGAAATGCTGACACCATACTGAATGTCACTTCACTAGAAATGCTAAATTAAGTTAATTCACAGTGATTCCATTTCTCCGCAATGTCACAGGCTCTTCCCCCTTCACACTATTTGATCCAGCTTTTAAAACAAACTATTGCTTTTTAAGAATGGGGTGTGATTCTGCATTATTATTCAGGCCTACCAAAGTTCAGAAAGTCTGATTACAATAAAATAGAGACTTGTATCAGTCTTTTACTAGACATTATTTTCCTGCCAATGACAGAATTTTATCAAGGAAAGTTTTTACTGAAACCAGTAAATACATTTCTTAAACTAACTTGACAATACTATGAGATGACACAACATACTGATTTCTGACTTTATGTATCTATAGAATAACTAAGGCCAGAGGCACAGTGAGAAACATGGAGTATTTGGTGTTCTTATTTAAGCAGGGCCTCAATACATTCCTTGGACAGAAACCATATCGTGCCAAGGACTCAATTTTCCTATCCATCTAAGGACATAGTGTCCTCAGGGCACACTGCTTCCTCAAATGGTGCCTCCAAGCAATTAAGGTTGCAGCCTACAGGACCATTAACTGAGCACCAGTACTTCCATCTGAGATGTACTATGAGTGACAGACAAACACTCCCACTCTGAAAAAAAAAATTGTCCTCAAAGAATTCAGTGGTTAATTTAAAGGTAGAAGACAGAAAAGGAGAAAATGCATGTTGAAAGATATGGGTGCTGCAAATGAGTAAAATAAAGCACTCTTCACTTTGGAAATGCAGGCAAGAAATTTAGCCAACTACACACATACAGCTACCCACCACTACCTCCCCAAAGAAATTTGGAAAACCTCTCAAAAATCCTTATTGTTCAGCACATAAAAATAATCAGGTTTTTATTACTGGTAAATTCCACTCCACTGCTAAAAGCCTAAAGCAGATGAAGTAAGAAACAGGCTTATTTCCAGACTTACCTGAAAGCAGAATATTTTCCCAGCAGCCAGGAAGAAAATGCTTAACTTTTCACAAGAATTTCAGCTTGACTCAAGTTAACAGGTGTCTTCGCTTTGTCCAAGCACCCTTCTGGTGTACAGTATCTTGAAATCCTTTAAACAAAATAAAAAGTTACAAGAGAAGAGCTGTGTCCACCCCATTACTGACAATTTCATGAATTACAAAGTCTGGATTTTTCCAGCCATGTTGCTGGTCCAACTGGGTGGAAATCAGACCCTTGGATTCAAGTAACCAAGAGCTGTTTTGCTTCCAGCAAAAGCAGGACCTGCTGTCATGCACATGATGAACAGTCTGTCAGTGCCAATAGTGTCTATATATTATTGTGTACTGAACTGCTGTGCAAGTGGAGCCAGCTACTGAGCTGAACCATCTTGGTTCAGCAGCTGAACTGCAACGTCTTGGTTTGTTTGTCTAAATTCACCACAAAGTATGTCAGTAAGCATTAAAGTGCTTACTGATGGCTCCAGGTCAGGGGTAGAAGTCAAGTAAAAAAGAAAAAGCACAAGAACAAAACAAAACAAAAAAACAAAGAAAATTAACAACAGATGAGAAGGAGTAAGAAAAAATGAAGAGAGAAATGCACACAGCAGCAATCCAGAGAGATGTGGTGGGACACCTATGCATACTAAAGAAAAAAAAAATTCTCTTTAACATTTGACTAGGTAATGCAAAGAAACCCCATCCAAATTAATTTAAAACTTTGAATATTATCCTTATTTTGAACAAACACTTAATAAAAAGCTAAAGGCAGAAGGTGAATGAATTTACACATATTTAAAACAATCCGCTTGCCTTTCAGTGGTATCAGAGCAGACAAAAAATCAGCATCAGTTCTGCTTGCAAAGGACCAACAACTGAATGAAAGCACTTCAATTTGGAGGGAAGCGGGGCAGAGTAAGAAGTGCTGACTAAGTAGAACTCCAAACCAATAAATGTTGGATTCTCTGCAATCTCCCTTTGCCTTTCCACCTTGCCTGTGAAATGTTATCTCATTCATCCTCCCATCTAGACAGGGGAAACAGGCAGTCTTCACAAGACCAGAAAGCTGCACTGTAATAATTACTGTAATAATGCTATCAACAGTACAATAAATTATATGGCCTGCAAGAAGTTACATATAATTTTCACATTTTTCTTTCTCCTCAGAAAAGCACATATTTGCCTCACTTCCTAGGTGAATTCTGAGTCACCTTCTCTGCTGATCCAGATTTTCAATACCCTGAAAATTTGACACACACTCACAAAGTTCATAAGCAAAGAGGATACCCCCTCCAGCATTTACCTTTCATATGAAATTCTGGCATTTTCCAAAATCTAAAATTAAGAATAATATGGAATCCATGGAACTCCTAGTTCTTGGACAAATACTCTAACCACAAAACTACCAAATGGCAAGGATCATCAAAAAGCAGGTTTTTTTGCTCAAAACAATGGCAAAGGAATGAATGTGAACTGTTTCATTCAGACCTCATGCTCAGATGTGTCTATTAGGCATTACTGGGAGTGCCTACTGAGGACTTGTACGAACTCCATCCTCCTGAATATTAAGTTTTTATATATATATATATATATAAGTACTAGATGAACAGCAAGATGCCCAGCCACTCTAAGGCAGCAATAATTCTGGTCAGATGTCATAACAGGATTCAGAGGAGATTTTACTGACACAAGTTTTGGGGGTCCCAGTGTAGCAAGGATGTGGACTTGTTGAAGCGAGTCCAGAAGGGGACAATAAAAATGACTGGAGTGATGGAACAATTCTCCTATACAAAGAGAGGCTGAAATAGTTGGGACTCTTCACACTGGAGATGAGAATGCTCTGAGGAGACCTTAGAGCAGCCTTCCAGCACCTAGAGAGAGCCTACCAGAAAGCTGGATAGGGACTTTCTACAAGGGTGTGCAGTGATATGTCAAGGGGCAATACAATTGCTTTAAAATGAAAGGAGGAAGGTTTGGGTTAGACACTACAAAGAAAAAACACAGTCACCATTACAACAGTTTAGTGCTAAGCATTTCTGTTGTCATTTTAATAACATCATACTTGAAAGAAATTGTCATAAAATAAAAAATAATGTCACATCTGAGGCTCAAAATTTTTATTTTAACCCATAGCACCTCTACTTTCATGTTAGGTTTTTCTTTCTAATTGAAACTGGCAGAAATATTACCTCTCAAAACCATGGAGAGTTTTCATGCTAAAATCCTGCTATTAAAACTTTCTCTTACAGGAAACAAGGATAATCTCTCTGTTGCTGAAGCTGAAGTACATTCTCAATTCATATAAACAGAACTCACATGTTCAATTGACCCAAATACTTTAACACAGAACATGCCTGCCCTGGAAGGACAAATGTAATTTTAATAACATTTAAAGTACCTTTGCATTTTCTTTACTTAAAAGCCTCTCACCCCTCAAGAAACCAGCAAGACCAAACTACCACTCACAAGAAAACCACCCAAATAATTTTTTAAAAAACACCACAAAATCCCAACAACAACAAGAAAAAGCCCCACAACCAGAAAATAGACTACTTCAAAGAGCCAGAGATGTCTGAAATTTTCCATGGCTAATTCTAGGATCTTTCTGCAAAATGCTTTGTAATTGCATTCCAAAAAAACACAGTTCTCTGCAAGGGAAACTAGAAAAACCAAAACCAAGTATTGATATACAAAGTTTATCAATAGCATTGAATCTGTTCTACTTGCACAATATTCTATTAAGTTTTTATTTTCCAGAAACTTCTGTTCTTAATAAATACTATATAGCAAGGTATATTTTTTGAGTCTGTTAAGTATATATTAAAACATGATATCTTATTATCATAAACCCCTGAGTCGCTAAAACCACATATCAAATTATACTTTTCAAGAGAAAAACCAAAATTTAAGTTTTTAATGTTTGTCTACCACAATAGACAAAAAACCTGTGAGATTGTTCATCTATACATATATATATATATCCCTGTTTTTCTTTGTATCCAATGCTTGGTGCAACCCAAAATATTTTCAAAGCCAAAGCTCAGACTTCACTTTTGATTATCACGGAGCTATTTGAAAGGTGAAAAAAGTAACAAGTCTGCAGCAACTAAGTAATTGCTTTGATGTATACTTACTTATCAGACAGTGCAAGTAAGTAGCTGAACAAAATCTTCTACAGCACAAAAAAAAAAAGAGGCAAACTAGTGCACAGAAAAAGGAGTACAAAATCGCAGGTGACAGAATAGTGTCAATATACAATGCATTAAAAATTAAATAGAAAAACTATAGGTATGAACTGAGAAAACAGGTAATTATGTAAAAGGTCACAAATGCTAGGCAGAAGGGAACCTATGGAAACCCTGAAGCTGATTACATTCTGGGCTTCCAAAGCATTTCTACTGCTCACAGAAGTACATGAGAGCTCCCCTAGTTCAGTACAGATTAAATCACAAGCAAATGCACTTTTCATATTACCTCATTGCATGTATCCCAAAGTTTCAGAAGCTGTTCATGGGTCAAAATATTCTTTTTTGAAGTACTTAAAAGTCTGTTTAAACAAAACCATATAAAAAGGCTTCTGCATTCTTTGTGCTGTAGGCAATCTTAATTCCAAATACCACTTGTGGTTTACATTTTTAAACATTGAAGTAAATTGTTTGCAAGAACAGAATTCACAAGTGTGAATTCACACTTGTAGGAATATATTCTGTCTTAAAAATTTAGGATAACCAGCAACACATGGCAGCAAGAGTCATGGTCTCTGTAGCAACAGCAACCTAACCAAAAAGCTTGTAGACAGCAGGTAAACACCATGATAAGCAGCATTCTAAATATGGCAAAACCACACAAAGAACACACCATACTGAAATGAGCAGTACGTTACCTAGCATTACACAGAAGAATTATTCATGAGGACAGCAGAATACTCTTCCTTTGACAGCAGTAAGAAATGGCCACTGCTATTAACACAGTGGTGCTGTCTCCCCCATCTCATCCTCTTGCACCATAAGGAGGACTGCACCTTTGCAAAAAGTCCCAGCAATTTTACCTTAAGTAGCTCCTTCCTCTATTTAATCCTTTACTCTTTCATACCTAACATATTGTTTCCAAGTTCGGTGTCTCAAGTGACAACTTACACAACTATAATTTTGAAAAAAAATGGTTAGTTGTGGGTTGTTTTTTGGGTTTTATTCCAAGAATACAGTTCTATTTTAATGGCAAAAACACAAGCAAAGTTACTGCACATGAACAATTTCTTTAATAAAATCGTGATGCTTGATGTTAGGAAAAAAAACCTCACAAACTATTTGGAGATGGCAGAGTTATTTGTACAAACTGTTTTATATTCCAAAAGCTCAAGCCACAGAACAATCCATAAAAGCTTTGGTTACCTATAAACCACACTAAAAATCTGGGGAAATCCTTCCAGCTTCACAATTAAGTTTCAAGTTGGCAAACACTACATTGTGCTCAATCAAAATCCAATAAATAGAATCATATAGATAAAGAATGATAGAATGATAAAGAAAGAATGAAATAATGATAACTGAGGTACTGAGAATCTGTTTCCTGAAGTAGATTATTCCTAGCCCAGTTTCTGAACCTTTACAAGCACTGGAAAACAAAAACAGAGACTCCTCCCCCCCACACCCCACAAATGCTGTTTCATAGGAATTAAAGTCTCAGTCAATAGCCCAGAGAGAGTCAATTATCAGGATCAGCTGTTTTTTAAATCAAATTGTAAAATAGGATGGAATGGCACTGAGTACACACTGAACAGCTGTCTGTTCCTAAGATTTAATATATAGCAGTAGAAAAAGTTTTAGAGTCATCAAAGTATTCTAATATACCTAAAAGTACCTTAGAAGTGTTTCTTCCATGAGAAAAGGTTTGTTCATGATAATAGAAAAACTATTTCTTCCAGATGTAATTTTAAGACTTTAAGTGGAAATGGCAGAAAATAATCCCTTACCTAATGACTACGAAGTCCTCTAAGCAGATAAAAAAAAAAAATGCTTTTGGTGGAAGAGAGCCTGATTAATAAATCTAAAAAAAAAAAAAAAATGAAAAGGCTAACAACCTTCACTCATCAAAGAAAAAATACTTCTGAAAATTGGTTGCTGCATTTCCCTTATGCCATTTACTATAAATATTTATAGGAGGGAACAAAAAAGTCAGCTGATGAGCTTACCCATTGCTGCATTATAGCAAAGTGCCGACTTTTTGACGTGACTAGATAAACTGCAGCATATAATCAGACATTCAAAATGACATACATAAAACTTCACAGACAACTGAAGCACCCAAGTCCTTTACAGCAAGTTGCCAACTATGTCATGCAGCCATTAGCACCAGTCCACTTGACTGCAAAAACAAAGTCTGACAAAAGTAGCCAAAAAAGCTAAGTAAGCAAGCAAGAAAAGCATTTGCTGGGAAAAGAATAAAACACCAGTACTTTATTTCTTGCCTGGAAAGAAGCTCCTAGAAAGTTACTAGCATTGCAGGCATAGGGTTACTTCAAGATATGACAAACTTGCTGTCATCAGGGTCACATAGTATCACGTTCAAAGCTTACGTGATTTAAGCTGACAGAAATACTGCAAAAGTCAGCTACATCTTGCCCAGCCAGCATAACCCTTTCCTCAGGTAGAAGGTGAATGGCACAAGGAGGGAGGAGGAAGCAATAAAAATAGCCAGAAGGAAAAGGACAACAACAGCAGAAACTAGGTATTTCCCTACACCAAGAACTGAACAAGAACTGGAAACCTAAGAACTTTTTTCAGCTCTTGGAAAAGCTTAATACAGCGGAAAATGTCAGAGGTGCTTTCTAGCACACAACCCAGTGATTGCTCCTTTGGGTTACACTGCCTTGATGGTTAAGGTCATTCTGTAAAAAAAAAAAAATCAACTCAAAGATCTAAACTTCCTAGTTTACTAACTGAATAAAGCAAACCTGCAATTCTGGTTTTAATCCAGATTTAAAAACAAAACAAAAAAAATCCATGGCTCCATGTTGCAGATTTATCTACTCAAATATACTTCAAACCCTCTCAAACCTCACCGGTGTTCAGAAACACAATCATAACAATTCAAAATATTCCCAGCAACTGTTCTCCCTTTCAAAATCTTGATTTGTACCATTTAGCTTATGAATTACATTTGGAACAATTAAAACACTATTACCTACCTCCCGTATGCAACCCCTGGGTACTCTGTTTCTCAGTAATTTTAAGTTTTATAAAGGATGTAGTGGAAGTTTTTATGTGACTTTTAATATACTAAATGTTTTAGGGTGACATTTTAAGGACTGCTGCCTCTGCACCTGTTGCAAAAGAAATAAGGATGTTTGCGTGCTCCCTCCTCTCCACTACTTTCAGTCTTTCCATGTTTACTGCATTTCCAAATGGAAACCACGCTGAATCACCCATGTATCCAGGACACACACTGGATAGTTCATAATCTTCTTGATGCTTAGCATAGGATATTGGACAGTTAAGCTGTGGATAGTGGCAGGGCCTGAAAACGTACCCAGAGATACACTGCTGTTATAAATCTCTCCTGAGCACTCACACAAGCAGCTGCCTTGTTCAGTACTCTCACACTCACTCCAAGAAACCTGACTTCCCCTCTAAGTTCTTTAAGGAGTTTCAACACTTCAATTACTGCAGTTATACTCCAGAGCCAGGGCGACTTGATTAGCACTCAGTGCTTTTCAGCATTAGCAATTTGTATCACGGGAGCAATCTCCTAAGAGCAAGCAGCTTACAGATACTGGAATTCAAGGAGACGTTTCAAATAACATACTGAGAGCCAAAAAACAGGTGATCCCCAACTGTGTCTAGCAGAGTATCACCATGAATTTTAAAGACTGCAAAGTTTCTAATCATGTGACACACTGCTGACAAGCTGTTGAGTGAAAAGTTGAATGTCTTTCCTAAACTAAAACCTAAACGTAAGGTGAAATAGCAAACTCCTTCTGTAAGCCAAAAAGGACTTCAGAGAACCCTTCACCTTTTTCTCTTTACATGTAGCTTCTTATACATAATTTCAGAGAAGCTGCTCCTAGCAGCAGTAAGATAATTAATACAAATCTTCTGCCAAGACAACTGAATATTTTTCAAGCTCAAAAGGTTAATCTGGAAAATAATCTGTGAAGTTCTTGACCATGAAAACTAAAATATGAGCACTGCCACCTCCAACGCTTGAACTGAAAGTTAAGCCTGAGATGAGGTATCACTTCACACAAACATATATCAGGTGTCACTTTACACACCACGACTACTCCTTGGTTTAAGATAATTTCCACCCTTTTTGATAAAAAATAAAGACAGAATCCTTTTTTTTAATGAAACCTTTTTTTGAAAAAGGATTTTGCTTAATTTATACTAGCATTAAAAAAATCACAGTAGTGAACTGATACATCAGAAACTGTGTGTTAAAATTATCTTGACATTAAATATGAAAGTCTTCTGGAAGGGAGATTATTTTGTCACTCCAGCTCAAGACATTAAAACATATTCCAACACAGACTTGCACTCACAACACACAGCATGAGGCATAATTTCCAGAAAAACTCTTTGGTTGTAAGTATAATTTCAGTGAAGGACTAACCAAAAGGTGGGGCTATCCCATCAGCAACATCCAGTCACTCAGGGTTACACAAAATACTGAAAGCTACCTGCAAAACAGAGAAGCCTTTTCATGAAATATGACCTATAAAGGTAGTGCAGAGACATATTTCTTTAAAGAAATGTCATTCATGGGAATACAATGAGCTAATTTCCGAATGCTGGAAAAACTAATACACAAAAATCAACATTCACACCACAAGGCTCTACAGAAGTTTCATGGTGTTTTTACACCACACAGGTACAGAGGAATTCACTTTCCATCTATATACACTATTGAAAGATTATTGCTCTAAGTAACCACAACAGTTCATCCAGCTGAGGATTTCTAAATATCTCACGCAATGTCGGTCCCTGAAAGCAGTTTACACTGAAGAAAAACACCACCCCACCCTGATGTGCAACCTATTTCTAAGACCTCTGTCGAGCATTTGAACTGGTACCTACAACGAAACACTTGCTCTGCTAGATTTCCACCACTGAAGGAAAAAAAAAAAAAAAAGGCAGGAAAAGGAGAAAAAGGAAGAAGAAAGAAAAAGAAAAACCAAACCCCAAATGGTAACAAACTCCTACCCACGGAACGTTAAGTCAAACAGACGTTGGGCAGGCCAAGTCCACGCCACATGAGGCAAATGTTATCCCAACAGTATTTTCCACCCAATGCCCATGCTGGGTTGTCCCGCCGGAGGGGCAGCGGGGACAGAGCGGCAGCGTTGGGGGCCCGCAGGGCCAGGGCTCACGGCAGCCCTGGCTGGTGCAGGGCCGCCCGGCACGGGCCGGCTGCGCACCGCACGGAGCGCGGGGACGAGATCGTCCCGCGCCCGGCGCGGGGCTCCGTGCCACCGGCGGCTCCACCCCGTGCCGCGGCGGACCCGACCGCGGCCAGGCCCGGAAACCAGGACCGCTCCTACCGTAGCGCCTGCCACCATCTCCGCGGGCGAGAGCGCGCAGGGCGCGGCTCCCGCAGAGACCCGCCGTGCCCGAGCGGCCCCGCACGCATCCACCGGGGCCCGCGGGGACGCGCCCGGCAGCCCCGGGGAGCCCCGCACGGAGGAGCCTCGTCCCGCCCCGCCCCGCCCCAGTCCCGATCCCGGCTCCGGCCCTGCCCCGCTGCGGCCCGCTCCGCCCTGCCCGAGGCCATGCCTGCCCGCCCGTTTCACCTTCGCGCAGGCGGCCACTCAGCCCGCGGCGCTCGGGCGGGGCCGCGCGCAAGCGCCGCCGCCGCCGCCGCGGGGAGCGCGGTGCCCGCCCGGCCGCACCGCACGGGCGGTGTGAACCTCCCTGGCTGGCCGCCCCAGCACCGGCCACTCACGCCTGAACGGTCCAGACTTCTGTGAGATGCACAAGTATCTAATGGGAGGCGGGGGCGAGCAAGAGCATGGAAGCAGGCTTTTCTCAGTGGGAGCAGTACGAAAAGGGGCAATGGGCACAAACTGATGCACAGGAAGTTCCACCTGAACATGGGGAAGAATTTCTTTGCTGTGCGGGTGACCAAGCACTGGCACAGACTCTTCAGTGAGGTTGTGGAGTCTCCCTCGCTGGAGATACTTAAGAACCCTCTGGACACCATCCTGTGCGGTGCGCTCTAGGATGACCCTGCTCGAGGTCCTAGCAGGACCAGATAACCCACTGTTGTCCCTTCCAACCTGGCCAATTCTGTGATTCTGCAATACTTTCATGGGGCGTTTCCCCCCAGCCCAACCTTTATACACAGTTTGTTGTAAGTACCTGCACCCAAAGAATGCTACTGCCTAGGGCACTGCGGCACCACAGAAGGAAGTAAGAATATTCATAGTGATTCGTTAGTCAAAGACTTTGTATGCCTCCTCACACGCCCCCCCCCCCGCCCCCCCACACACCCCTTTCCCCTGAGAATCTTTGCAAAAGAAAAGTAATACCTCATATGTTCCACAAAACACTTTATGGTAAATTAAGCTCCATGTGCCTAGCACCTGGTTTTGAACCATGCATTATTATCACTGATGACTTCTAGAAGTGGGTAATTTAATCTCCCTGACACTTGTTAAACTGGAACAACCAGGTATTTCTTTTCTCATTAAGTTCCTCAAATGAAGAAACTACTAAGAATCTGTGGACAAATCTTTATATTGAGTTTACAAATCTGACATGGGAAAAGGAACCCTTTAATAAAAGGCTGGCAAACAGAAATCAAGTTCAAATCCCACTTACACCCATTATAAAGGCACAACCCCTACTAGAACGACGCAAAGTTAATCTCCCAATAACATTGTGTATCCATGGAGTTACCCATTCTAATTCTTGTTCAGTAAAAAGCAGATTTCAGATCCTTTAAATTTACACTTTTATTCATCTTCCTTTTCAAAGTACAGATACCTGGCTACAGCTCTTACAATTCCTGTCCTACACATATCATTCAATCTACTCACAAAGGTAAAAGTAAAGATAGCCACGACTTTTCTACTGTCGAGGAGGTAGCTGTGCATTTTGTTTGCAACTCTTCCACAGGGCTGATTCGCCTGAAGGGTGGTTTATAGTTACTGTTTGTTAGTCCTTGAACTTGGGTTACAATGTTAGAAAGGTGAATTCTGCTTATCATCCATGCAACAGTACACAGATGATCTGCACAGCATGCATACACCTCCATACAGAACAAACCTGCTTTACTGGCAAGTCAGCAGAAACCAATGCAAGTGAGGAGCAGTGAACTAATTTTGTGGAGGTATGACAGATGGACCAGAGATCCTGGTTCTCCTACCTCCTATTTATGCATAACTGCTCAGATACATTGTAAGTCCTTACCCCACCATATTAATAAAATGGATAGTCAGATGTCCATTTGTTCAGTTATTCACATGGTCTTTCTCCAGCAAATAATTCCACATTAATTATGCTTCCTAGAACTTGTAAGTCTATGGGCTATAATCACAAAACGTAAGTGTATCGGGAAGCACCTTTCTTCCTCTCTCTTACAAGTTTCTCCAGGCATCTAGCATGAATGAAAAGAGCACACTATCAGAACACAGAACTTTGCCAGTGCATTGGCAACAGGTAGGAACAGTGTCACTGGTTCCATAACACTGGTCACATTGGGAAATGGCTAAGAGAATACTTAAAGCAGAATTCAGCACAACTACAAGTTGTCTGTGAATTCTATTAATGGAATCATTTTAAATGCATAGCTCTGTCTAAAGCAAAGCAGAAGACATGGAAGTACTCAAGTATGACTCAGGCAAAGACAAAAATAGTATCCGGCAGGCTCTGGAAAGTAAAGGACAAATAAAGGGGTGTAGATAAAAATCTCTCAAATATTTTGAAGTTGAAGTCAGAGTCAGTTTATTTAAGTTAGTTATGAAAATAATGTTTTAAAACAGCTTTGTATGTGTCCTGGCACATGACAAAAATAAATCAGTTAAAAATATGAGAATTTTCTACTGAAAAGAGAGGACCCAGCAGTAGCTTCATTAATTTAATGCTGGCAAAAATTGTGATCTCATTTAAGAAAAAATGAATGATAGTGATGGGCCTAATTAAAATACGTATCAGTTACTGAAATCTATTAACTTTTTTCACTCAATGTAAACAAAAAATGAAGACCATAATTTAAGTGCTGCATTCATCTTGATTATTTCCCCCAAAAGACTGTTCTATGCAGAACTCCTATTTTTACTAGCTAAATATTTGTTTATGGAAGTTAAAGGTCACTGAACAATTGAACCTAGAATTGTTTTTTTTGGCAGGTAGACTGGTTCCAAGTTTAGGATTTATTTCTAAGGAGGACAACTTTACCTTTAGAAAACCTGACTCTGATGTACAAATGGAGTAGCAGAACATTGCTGATCTTATTTACATAACAATTATCACCAATTCAGATGCATTTTACTTACATGAGACAGCAGGGATATGCCCTAGCTTTATTTGTTTTCAAACACAATACTGTGTGCAAATGTGAATTGTTTATCCATCGAATTTTTTATAAAAAGTTAATATCATTCTTATTCTTTTGTTTTCACAAAAATTTTAACATTTCAAGTAGAATCTTTAACAAGCATACAAAACTGTTCCAAACGACTTACATTTAATTTAACCAGAACAAATAATAAATCTGAAAATAAGTTTATGGCTAATTATAGAGTCATCAAGTAAAAGCTTGATGGGGAGCCAGGCATGCATCACTGAAAACTGCAGCAACAATAATACTGGATTGTGGAGCAGAATGGGTTCTACCAAACTTAAGTCTCTAGGTTTGACCAAGTGACCCACCTAGCAGATGAGAGAAAGGCTGTGGACATTGTCTACCTGAACTTCAGTAAAGCCTTTGATACTCTCTCTCCCACAGCTTCTTCCTGGAGAAATTGGCTGCTCATGACTTAGACAGGTGCAGTTTGCTGGGTTAAAAATTGGATAGATGGCTGGGCTGAGGGTGTTGGTGAATGGAGTTATCTGGCTGACAGTCACTACTGCAGTTTGCTAGGGCTCACTGCTAGGACTGGTCTTGTTTAATGTCTTTATCAATTCTTTGGAATACCGCCCCAATTTGCAGATGACACTAAGTCAGGTGGGAGTGTTGATCTGATGGAGGGTAAGAAGGCTCTGCAGAGGGATCTGGACAGGCTGGATCGATGAGCTGAGGCCAGAGGTATGAGGTCCAGTAAGGTCAGGTGCTGAGTCCTGCCCTTGGGTCACAACAACCCCTTTCACTGCTACAGGCTTGGGGCAGAAAGACTCGAAAGCTACTCAGCTGAAAAAGACCTAGGGGTCTACAGCAGATCCTGACCTGGGACATTGAGGAGTGTGGAGTGTGTCCAGAGAAGGGCAATGGAGCTGATGAAGGGTCTGGAGCACAAGTCTTATGAGGAGCAGCTGAGGGAGCTGGAGGTGTTTAGCCTGGAGAAAAAGGAGAAAAGGATGCTCAGGAGTGGCCTTATCCCTCTCTTAAAGCTACCTTAGAGTGTAGCTTGCAAGGGTCAGCTTCTTATCCCAAGCAACTAGCAGCTGGAGAACAACACATAGCCACAAGATGGGCTAGGGCAGGTTCAGGTTGGGCATGAGAAAGAATTTTGTCACTGAAGGAGTGGTTAAAGCATTGAAACAAGCTAACCAGGCAGGTGGTGGTGTCACCATCCTGGGAAGTGCTTAGTAAACAACTAGACATGCAACCTGAGGCTATGGTTTAGTTGGCATGGTGGTGATTAGTCAAAGGTTGGACTAACAGGTCTTTTTCAACTTGAATAACTTTATGATTTGTAGGAAGTTCAGTCTTAGGAATATACCTTTTAATGGGACAATACATGGGCTTAGAGAAGGTAACAAATATATACTAATCTACACACCGTGTGGAAAGGCAAGGATATCAGAATGTCATAAGCTAAAAAAAGAAGCTTATAAGTTTACATAAATCAAGTTGTGTTCATTTAGTATTGTTGGCGAGGCAATACAAGCAACAAATTGAGTCACAGATGGCTGACATTTATGCAGAGACTCAAGTCTTCAGACAAAGATAGGCTCCTCAGTCCTGCATTTTTACAGGCGACTAAAAAAAGTATTAACTACTAAGTAAGCCGTACAGCATGACTTCCAGGATCAGACTATACAACTAAAATAATCACCAAAAAAATTAAAATATAATTTTATCATGGTTAGCCCCTCTGGAAGCAGGAAAGGGTTGTAAAGCATTAAAACAGACTGCCCAAGAAAGTAGTGGAGTCACCCCCTCTGGAAGTGTACCAAAAAGTGTGTGGATATGGCACTTGAGGATTGTGGAGGTGGTGATATAATGGTGAAGGAACATGGTGGTGGTGCTGAGTTGATGGCTGGACTCAAAGGACTTTTCCAACCTTAAAATTTCTCTGATTCTATGATAAGAGCAAGAATAATAAGAAA